TGGGATGCGGTGGGGGGAGGGGAGATTTTGAAGCTTGTGAAATCCACATTGATACCATTGGGCTGCAGGGTTCCCAAGCGGAATATGAGTTGCTGTTCCTGCAACCTTCGGGTGGCACTACAGGAGGCCCAGGATGGACATGTCGTCTGAGGAATGGGAGGGGGAGTTGAAATGGTTCGCGACTGGGAGGTGCAGTTGTTTATTGCAAACTGAGCGTAGGTGTTCTGCAAAGCGGTCCCCAAGCCTCCGCTTGGTTTCCCCGATGTAGAGGAGACCACACCGGGTACAGCGGATGCAGTATACCACATTGGCAGATGTACAGGTGAACATCTGCTTGATGTGGAAAGTCTTCTTGGGGCCTGGGATGGGGGTGAGGGAGGAGGTGTGGGGGCAGGTGTAGCACTTCCTGCGGTTGCAGGGAAAAGTACCAGGTGTGGTGGGGCTGGAGGGGAGTGTGGAGCGGACAAGGGAGTCACAGAGAGAGTGGTCCCTCCGGAAAGCTGATAAGGGTGGGGAGGGAAAAATGTCTTTGGTGGTGGGGTCGGATTGCAGATGGCGGAAGTGTCGGAGGATGATGCGTTGGATCCGGAAGTTGGTGGGGTGGTACGTGAGGACGAGGGGGATTCTTTTTTGGTTGTTATTGCGGGGACGGGGTGTGAAGGATGAGTTGCCGGAAATTTGGGAGACACGGTGGAGGAGGGCGTTCTCGACCATTGAGGGGGAAGTTGCGGTCCTTGAAAAACGAGGACATCTGAGATGTACGGGAGTGGAATGCCTCATCCTGGGAGCAGGAATCCCTTCATTCTGTCTGATGGTTGCCTGTGTAAGCCTGTTAGTTTGATGTTATAGAGTTGAATGTTCCATAAACACACAGGCTCAATTTTAAATGATTCAAATTCCTCTGATCAGTTTTTATGTTGATTAATCAGTTGTTCTCAACAAAAGAAACCTATATGATTCTTTTGTTTTTTGCCTCGCAAACAATTGCAATCTCTGGATCATTTATTAAAATTGACGACAAAGCCACTAAGCTTAGTTTCAAGGCTCAGTATACTGTGGGGTTCTGACAAGTATATAACTGTGTATAAACTATGTCACAATCCACAGTATAATTAGTAGTTTCCATTCAGCCTGATGTGTGCATTTATTTAATAGAAGGGGTGTCAAATTATTCTAATGACAGAAGAGACAAATATTTCAATTTGGTTTCTTCCTGATTATCCATAGTGTTTTTGTGCTAAATGTAATGATCAAATAGATTCAATTAAGCAAAGTTAACAATTCAGCAACATGGAAATTTAATGTGTAAAAACAATTTGAATGATCATAATTTGAATGAAGTGACTTTAGTGATGTAGCTTGTACTTCATTTCGTAGAGATTTACAAACAGTAACCGTCTGCAATTAATGGAATGGTCTTGTATCTTTTTCTGATTTTCACTTGTTTTACATGTTACAATGTTCAAAGTATGTGGATATAAAATAAACAGAATTCATTCTACTTTTGTTAGAAGAGTGGGACAAACCTTTCTGGACTGAAGTAATAAAATGAATTGAATTGAACTGAATTAATTTTATTGTCACATGTACTCAAATGAGTTAATTGAGAAGTTTACAAGTTGCCACTTACGGTGCCATCTTGCGTACAAAGGTACCTAGGTACAGATTCTTAAATACAAGTTCTTCTGAGAAAATACAGAAAAATAAAGAAACAAAAAGTTTTTTTAATGGCCCTTTTTTACTGAAAATTATTGACAGCTTGTTGATTACTTAATGAATTTTTAAGTTCCCAGCCCCACATTACAGAGGCTTGGAGAGCCTGGCCTTTGTCCTTATGAGATTGCAGTGTAGCGGTTCAGACTGACACAGTGAACGGTGCTGCTGTTAATGATGTTTCCCTGTTTCTTGGTTCTTGTTTAGTTAAGGTTTGCACTTGTATCAATATTTACAATCTAGCAATTCATTTTGGGAAGAATAAGCTGCAGGCTTTAAACTTCAGTCTGAACGGCATTTTAATCGTGAACTTTGATTTCACCCAGGGCAACCTGTATGAATTTTTAAAGCTCACTGGATGGACTGGCTCGAAGGTACTTTATTTTGGGGATCATATTTACAGTGATCTGGCTGTAAGTATATCTGTGCTGTCATTAAATTAATGAAATAGCTTGTACTAAACTAAATATAATGGGACATTTTGTTCTGTGCTTGTGGTGAGGTGTTGTTGTTGTCACTGGACTAGCAATCCAGAGACTCGGGCTAATCTATTGGGGACGTGAGTTTGAATCCCACCATGACCGATGGTGTAATTTAAACTTAATCAATAAATCTGGAATTAAAAGTTCAGCAACCGGCGTCCATGACGCCATTGTTGATTGTTGTAAAAACCCATCTGGTTCACTAATGTCCTCTAGGGAATAAACTGTGCTGGGAGAACGGGAAGAACAGAAAGAGGTTGCAATGTTTAATTGATAAAATGGTCAATATTAAGTATGTGGAGATTTTGCGTTATTCTCTTGTGCTTTATCTATACCACAAATGTGTGGATTCCCCAAAATCAAATATTCCAAGAGCATTTCACAGAATCCTAGAATCCCTACAGTGTGGAAGCAGGCCTGTCGGCCCATCGAGTTCACACTGACCCTCCAAAGAGCATCCTAACCAAACCCACCGCCCACACTATCCCTGCATTTCCCATGGCTAATCCACCTACCCTGGACACCTAAGGGCAATTTAGCATGGCCAGTCCACCCTAGCCTGCACATCTTTGGACTGTGGGAGGAAACCGGAGCACATGGACGAAACGCACGCAGACACATGGAGAATGTGCAAACTCCACACAGACTGTTACCCGACGGTTGAATCGAACCCAGGTCCTGGTGAAGTGAGGCAGCAGTGCTAACCACTGAGCCACCGTGCCACCCCCATAGAATAGTTATGGTGCAGAAGGAGACCATTCAGCCCATTGTGCCTGCACCAGTTCTACCACCTAGAGCCAATCTCCTGCCTTTTTCCCCATATCCCTGCATACCATTTCAATCCAAATATCGATCCAAAACCCTCTTGAACTGGACCTGTCTGTACCACGTTTCTGAGCAGTGCGTTCCATACCCTAACTACATACTTTTTCTCACATTATTTCCTCACATCTGTCTTGCTTTGTTGGCGCATCACTTAAAATCTTTTTTTTATCTTTTATCGAGCTTCTCCCTATCTCCTGTGTCCAGCCTGCTCATGATTTTGAGCGCCTCACTCAGATCTCCTCTCAGCCTTCTTCTCTCCAGGGAGAATAGTCCCAAATTCTTCGATCTATCCTCATCACTGAAGTTCCTCATTCCTGGAATCGTTTTTTTCTAAATCACCTTTTGCTTCTTGTTAAAATGCTTATCAGTCAGGTTTTTACTGTAGCAGAAATTATTTTAGGAAAAGACTAAAATGCTTTCTTATGTCTTTGAGGTCGCGAATTCCCAATGCAATAAAACCAAAGAAAGAAATCTTGTTTGTACTTCTGCAAATATAACTGAGCTAAGCATGACTAACTGATATTCTTTTTGTCACACAAGGATCTGACCCTGAAGCATGGCTGGAGAACTGGTGCAATTATTCCTGAGCTGCGATCGGAGATTAAAACGATGAATACAGACACGTACAATCAGGTAGTTGTGTGGTTGCAGGGTCTCACTGGGCTGCTTGAACGTATGCAGGTAAGTGTGTCCTTTTTTTATAGAGCTGTTACAATAGAGAACAGGATATAGATCAGTCACGGATGTGGGTGGAGTTTAATCTGGCTAAGTGAGAGGTGCTGTGGGAGATCAAATGTTAAAGAAAAGTAGACAGTTAATGGCAGGACCCTGAACAGTGTTGACGTACAGAAGGATCTTGGGGTTCAAGTCCACACAAGTAGACAGGGTGGTAAAGAAGGCGTATGGAATGCTTGCCTTTATTTGGTGGGCAATTGAGTACAAAAGTCAGGATGTCATGTTGCAGCTTTATAAGACTTTGGTTAAGCCACATTTAGAATATTGCATTCAATTCTGATCGCCACATTACGGGAAGGATGTGGAGGCTTTGGAAAGAGTGTAGAAGAGGTGTACGAGGATGCTGCCTGGATTAGAGGGTATGAGCTATTAAGAGAGGCTAGAAAATCTCAGGTTGTTTTCTCTGGAGCGGCGGAGGCTGAGGAGAGACTAATAAAATTATGAGATGCATAGGTAGGGTTGATGGTCAGAATCTTTTTCCCAGAGCTAAAATGTTGAATACTAGAGGGCATGCATTTAAGGTGAGAGCAGGAAAGTTCAAAGGATATGTGAAGGGCAAGTTTTTTTTTTACACAGAGTGGTTGGAGCCTGGAATGCGCTGCCAGGGGTGGTGGTAGAGGCAGATACGATAGGGGCATTTTAAGAGATTTTTAGATAAGCACATGAATATGCAAGGAATGGAGGGATGTGGACCAAAGACAGATAGAATGGATTAGTTTAATTTAGTGTCCTGTTCAGCACAACATTATGGGCCAAATGGCCTGTTCCTGTGCTGTGCTGTTCTGTTCTAGAGAAGAAGGCCATTTATCCCACTGAGGCCATGCTAGCCCTCTGTGGAGCAATCCAATCAGTCCCCTTCTCCCACTCTATCTGTGTAGCTTGGCAGGTTTATTTCCCTCAAGCCCTTAACCGGTTTCCTTTTCTCAAATCGTTCTGCATTCTCTGCTTCCATTACTCTCGCAGGCTGAGAACTTCAGGCCATTATCATTCACTGTGAAAACGTTTCTTCCTCCTACCCCTCCCAGCATTTTCTGGCCAAGACCTTAAATCTCTGACCCTAATGCTTGCACCATCAGCTAATGGTATAACAGCTTTTATTTATGAATTTCAACTCAAATCTGTTATGTACATCTCTAGCAGCACATCAGCATCTGTCATGAGGAATCTGATATTCCTGATGCTATCTCTGTTTCAGAGTAATGCCTTTTCAACCCTTTTGTAGGAATGTGAAAATTTGAACACCCTTTTATAAGTTTAAAAATCATATCTTGGTTCTTTTCTAAATTGGAGCAATTCTAAGAGAGAAGGTGGTTCTTCAGCTCATTAGTCAATGCCAGAGCTAACTGAGTTGTTCTTTTACATCAGTGAATTTCCCAGGGTCATTGTCTAAGGGACAAAAACACCAAACCGGGCCAGTCCTATAAATTTCTGAAGAAGGATCCAGACCCTAAACGTCAGCTTTCCTGCTCCTCGAATGTTGCCTGGCCTGCTGTGTTCATCCAGCTCCACACCTTGTTATCTCAGTCCTATAAATATATTGGTAACAAGACCAGATCAAAGGCTAGGAGTTTTGCAGTGATTAACTCACCTTCTGTCTCCCCAGAAACTGTCCATCTCTACAAGGCACAGGTCACAAGTAGGATGGAATACTTCCCAGTTGCCTGGATAAATGCTGTTCCAACAACATTCAAGAAGTTTAACACCATCTAGAACAAAGCAGGCCCTTGATTGGCACCCCATTTTAAAACCTTCAGCATTCACTCCCTACACCACTGACACACAGTGACATTTACTGTCAACAAGATGCATGGCAGCAACTCACCAAGGCTGCTTTGATGGCTCCTTCAATATGCAATGCCCTTAATGCATAGAACAAAGGCAGCAGGTTCATGGGAACCCCACACTTGCATGTTTCCCGCCAAGCCACTCACCATCCTGACTTGAAACTGCATCCCAGAGGAAGAGGCATACCAGAATGCCAAGAGAGTTGGGAGCAGAGGTGGCCATTGCTAAGGAGAAGGTGCTGGGGAAGCTGAGAGGCCTGAAGGTGGATAAAACACTTGGACCACACCCTGGATTTATGAAGGAGAAAACTGAGGAGTTTGTGAAGATATTGGTGGTGATCTTTCAGGAATCGCTGGAGTCAGGGAGGGTCCCACAGGACTGTAAAATGGTTAATGTAACACCCTAGTTAGGAAAGGAGGGAGGCAGAAGGTGGGAATTTATAGGCTGGTTAGTCTGATCTCAGTCACTGGTAAGATTTGAGTCCATTATTAAAGATGAGACTTGGAAATGCATGATAAAATAGGGCTGAGTCAGCATGGCTTCGTTAAGAGGAGAATGGGGTTGAGAAACATATCAACCATGATCGAACAGCAGAATGGTGTAATTCTGCTTCTGTTTCTTATGAGGTATATGATCTTTCACGATTGCTGGGCCAAAATTCTAGATTCTAAATTCCAAAATGCTCCTTAACAGAACATGAAGTACAGTGATTCAAGAAGACCCATCACAACCACCACCATTACCATCTAAACGGCAATTAGAGATGGGCATTTAACACTGACCTCGCCAGCAACAGCCACCTCCTGTGAATTGATAAAACCATTAAGAGGCCCTGATAATGGGTGGTGAGATTATTATGAGAGACCATAGAATGTTTGAGCTTGTGTGCTCCACACCATAGGTTTGGGATTCAGTTTCATTCCCTCAAACTGATGTAAGTGCAGTTTGTGGGGAATAAGGTCAGGGAATTGAATCTAAAGTGTCTGTAAACTTTAGCCCTTCAAGTTTGAATCCAATTCAGCTGAAAATCAGATTTGATAAAGAGTAGTCTTAATGATAGCTCTGTAATCTAGAACAACTGTACATAATCAGTGAAATAAAGCAAAACTGCGGATACTGAAGGTCTAAAACAAAAACAGAAATTGCTGGAGAAACTCAGCAGGTCTGACAGCATCTGTGGGAAGAAAGCAGAGTTAACGTTTCAAGTCTGGTCTTGAGGTTTGACGTAGAGTCACCGGATACAAACTGTTAACTCTGCTTCTTCCTAGAGATGTTGGCAGATGTGCTAGGTTTCTCCAGCAATTTCTGTTTTTGTACATAATCAGTACTTTTTCCTCAGACGATAGGTGCATTTTTGACCAGGTTAATCAAAACTGACATTTCCAAGGAATTTTAATTGTTGAGTTAGCAAAAGTGTAGGATGCACTTGGTATTCCTTTATCCTTCCTTTTATGAAACTGTTTTAGACTTATGAAGATGCAGAGTCACGGATGGTGCTACAAGAATGGATCAAGGAGAGAAATGAGTTACGGTGAGTTGTAATAACCACCATAGACATTATGTAAGGTCATCATTCACACATGAGTTAGTGACTGTAATATACACACACACTTTTCTAGCAAACTCAGTATATGCTAAAATCTATTGAATTAATTTTGGACAAGAAGTTGGATAGCAAAAGCTGAATGTTCTATACCATTCCCAATATTATTTCCTCCTCTCCTGCTTCGAATCTGATGCCACTTGCAGATGATGTGACTCCATGGGCCTCTGAGGGTATAACTCTGCACCCCTTTGAAATCCTGCCACAAGATCTGTTCCATTCACCTTAGAGGGCAGGCATGGGTTCAGTTTTACGCATGGCTCCAAAGACGGCACTTGCAAAAGTGCAGTGCTCCCTGAATCCCATCACGAGTGTCAGCCTGGATTCTGTTGCTTGGAGTGGAACTTGACCATGGGTGAGATAGTACTAAGAGGAAGGTTGGATCATGGTGGGAGATGCCCCTTTTACACTAGGTATTGTTGGGTCAAAGGCACTTGTGTTCCAATGTGATCCCTGTTCCTTCTTATCCTTCAATGGGATGAGTGTGTTGCTGGAAAGGCTACCCATCCCAAATTGTCTTCAAGCTGCATAGTTACCCGGGCCATTCCTGGGGGCAGTTAAGAGTCAGCCACATTGCTGCAGGTCTGGAGTCGCATGTAGGGCAGACCAAGTGAAGACGACAGATTTCTTTCCCTGAAGGACATTAGTGAACCATGTGGATGCATCCACGGATAGCAGTTTCATGGTCACCATCACTGAGACAAGCTTTCTATTCCAAATTTATTGATTGAGTTTCAGTTCCTCCCATTGCCTGGGTTGGTTTTCGAACCCGTATCTCCAGAGCATTAGCCTCGGTCTCTGGATTATTCATCCAATTGACAGTACCAACTGAAGATTTCTTTGGGATCTGGGATCAGGGGCTAGGTTTTGTGTGGTGCGATGCTCCTACCAGATCCCTGCCACTGCTTGGAGCAGATTTAAGTGCTTTAAGTTAAGACTACCGTTCCCTTACTTGGGAGGACATCTTGCGATGGAGGTCACCATTACTGACACTAGTTTCCAATTCCAGGTTTTATTCATTGTATTTAAATTCCCTGGTGGGATTTAAACCTATTTTCCTTATTGCATTAACCTAGGCTTCCGGATTACTAACCAGGTAACATTCTCGCTACGCCACCACTTCCCCACCTGTTGTATTAAGAAGTCTGTTCCTATTTACGTTGCCATCACTGGCCACTCATTTACCTTTTTTTGATGTTTCAGGGAAGCGACCAAGACCATCTTTAACCCCCAGTTTGGGAGCATTTTTAGAACCCACCATAATCCTACCTATTTCTCTCGACGGCTCTCGCGCTTCGCTGATATATACATGGCATCCCTGAGCTGCATCTTGAACTACAATCTGCACAACACGTTCTACCCTCGGAGAACACCACTGCAGCATGAAGCCTCACTCTGGTCCGACCAGATTGGTGCCAGCCCATTCAAATACCCCGATGTCGAGGGGTTGGCTCAGATTAAATGATCTGCCGTGTCTAACTGAGTCATGCGCTTCGGCCCCACACAAAACAGTTCAGAACTTTGCTTTAGTTGTTTGTGTAAATCTCTCATTGTATCTGGGCTTTCAGTGGCTGTAACGACAAGCTACGGTTGAACATTGCTAGAGTGTGGTCAGCTAAGCTTTCGTATTGTCTTCCATGGCGAGAGTGGCAAATCGTCGCCAAAATTTCATTTCCCACAGCGTGTTAGTCTGTGGTTTTAGGTTGCCTGGGGAACAGGTTGGGTAACATCAGGCACCTATTTGTGTGGCGTCATGCTGGGAGTGGAAGTGCTCACAGCCTCAGTGTTTGTCGAGACGCAGGCAAAGGTTAGCTGATAAATCTCCTTTACAAGAGAGAGGAGCAGAAAGACTGGCATTTGGAAATGAAGGTATCCTGAACTCCTCTGTGTGTGCACGAGACTTGCTCGTAAAGCAGGATTGCTAAGTGTTAGTACTAAGGAGAATTGAGGTTACTTAATATTTACAGCCAGCAGATATGCTTTAGTGGAGAATGTTTCTGTAAGCTCAAAGTGTACATAGAGACTGCCTTAAGGGCAGAACATGCACAACATGTACTTGCTACATTGACTCTGCTATCTCTCTCAAGCGTGCTAGTCACAGATAAGCAAGTGCAATGCTGGCAAATCCCTCGTAAGGAGATCGTTGCCAACTCCTAGTTAGTCAGTGTTGGTGCAATCATTCCTGTCTAATTATCTGTGCATTTTGTATATTGTTCGCTAGATCTGTTGCATAAGTCATAAGCTGTATTTATATGTGATAAATGTTGTTCAATAGGTTTCTGAAGCAAATGCATGAGAATTAGCATCTGAGAGAACAGATTGACCACTGCTGAGAGAGACTGTCATTAGATGGCATTTAAACGGGAGGTGGGCAGTGATAGGTGAAGAAGGTTAAGGAGGGGAGGGTCTAGACACTGAAAGCTGTGTTGCTAAGTAGGACTTGCTGAGAAGGTGATTGGATACACACCGAGTGAGTCAGAGGGCAAGCTGGGGTAGAGAGCTGGCATGAAAAACGTTAACATCTTGACGTTAGCCATGTAAGACATTGCATTTGGTCATGGCCTGATTGTTGAGAAATTTCCTGCTGGTTTTTGAACATGGTTCCTTGTGTTATCCCTTTAGTGCACAGTATTCCTTCAGAAATACACTTGAACAAAATGTTTTGTTTGCACTGTTACTGATCTGGAGTGAGTATTAAAATGTAACGGCAACATTAACATCTAAAGAAATGTTTTGCAAATGTAAACTACAAGACCTAAAATCTGGCTGATTGCAGTTTTTTAGAATCATTGAGCACAGGAGCAGACCATTTGGGAGCACTCCATCTGTGCAGCTCTTTGAAAGAATTGGGTCCAATCTCAGCCCCTTGCTCCAAGGGAAATTTTGTACTTTCAAGTATGTTTATAGTGTACATTAACTAAATTTGGCCTTTAATTCCAATTCCCTCTTGAAAGTTACTCATGAATCTTCTTGAATTGACCTTTCTGATAATGACGTGGAATACACTAATTTGTGGTAAATGTTTTTAAAAATCCTCATTTCCTGTCTTGATTCCTTTGCCAGTTATCTTCGATCATTGCCCTCCTGGATGAACTCCCTATTTACTCTAGCAAAACCCTGAATAATTTTGAACACCCCTATTACATCTCCTGCTAATCTCTTCTGCAGTAAGGAGAATGTTACCAGCATCTTTTGTTTCGCTGCTAAACTGAAGACCCCCATCCACATTGAAGGATGTTCACCCATATTCCCATCTTATCACTGTTCCTTCTTCAGCCAGAATTTGCATTGTCTTGTGTGTTGAATTAGTTGTTAAATTTGTCTTTGGTCTCCTTGCTGTCCAGGAACTGGGCTGTTAAATCTTGATTTTTATGTTAAGAGCAGTTCCGTCCAGTAGAAGCAAGAAACCTTCATTCTAATTGTTCAGGCTGGATCTGAACAAAACTTCAAAAGGTTTTAACCAGATCTATCCACAACTCTTGGCACTGCTGTAAATATTTTAAGAATGTTATTGCCTTCTGTTCCTGGTGAGCACTCCAAATAGTTTATAGGAGAAGCAACTGTATTTAATTTCTTAAGTTACCTTTGTGCTTTTTGTGATTTGGATGTTTTATGTTGCTTGTTTAACCCTTTAAAGCATTTTGGTAGTTTTCTTTGTTTTGATACTGGCTTGGTCCTGTCAGAAGTGTGTGAGCATGTCTATAAACTGGGCTGTGCTGGGTGGGGTTGTGTTTGATGGTTTTCTGAACGTCCAATGAAACCTTCTTTGTAGCTGTAGTCTTTTGCTCATTAATACCCCTGAACTGCAGACAATGAGCTTCTACTTTATGGTGAATTGCAATGTCCACTCTTGGGAAGATTTTGCTTGTGATTTCAAACTGGTCTCACTGTTGCAGTTTGCAGGAATTCAGGGAAATTTAAATATCCACAGATTTTAAAATCTTGCCCCAAAACTCTAACTTCCCAATTGAAATGAAAATCCATTTGGTAATAAGTGGTCTTAAATGATATTTCGATAATCTACTGAATAGAATGGTTGTATGTATTTGACTTAATCTCTTCAGATGCATTCTGATCAAGATTATCTTAACTGATTGTTTTAAGAAATTCTATGAGCTGTTTTCTAAATGCAAGACAAAAATCAGCTTATTCAACACTAAAATCCTTCGAAAATTGTAATTATGGTTCTCTATTTTTCTAACTGTCTAGGTGTGTTTTATGAGAAAAGTGATACAATCTAAGATGATTACAGCATGCCACTGCCATTGTAATCCATGTTATACTCTTCCTTGCTAGTCTCAAAGAGTTTAAGCAGTGGTTATGCAATGAAATCATAGGAAGCTACACTTTGTGTCCAGTGTTTTAGTTTAAATGTCATGCAAATCAGTTGTGTTTCTCTCTAACAACAAGAGATAAGTGCAGATAATTTTAAAACTGTGTTTTATCTTTTCCCAAAATGTTTCATTGCAGTAAAAGATTGCAGTGTTTCAAATAGATGCGACAAGCGTAGTTTGTGTACTCCTGGGTTTGTTTTAGAAAGGAGTTTGATAAATTGGGAAGTCCAATAGTAGTTTGGAATGTCTGTGTAATGTATGATTTTATAGTAAATTTGTAGTGGGGATTCTTTCTGTATGCTGTGCCAATAATAAAGAAACTAAGAGGACCAGAACAATGGAAAGGAATTCAGTTCCTTTGAAAGCCAACTTTAACCATTCACTAGTAGTTGGTAAAATATTGCTTGCATAATCTTTCAGGTTTGCAACATCCAGTTGGAAACAGACTTATCAAAAAATGTGCTTAACAAAGAATAGACTTGAGACCTGATGAAGGGTCTAGTGCCAAAAAAATTGACTTTCCTGCTGTTCCAATACTGTTTGACCTGCTGTGCTAGTCCAGCTCCACATTTTACCAAATAGACTTACAAATCCCTGTTACTTTATAAGAAAGCAATGTATCTCTCCAACATTCTCCATGTGACACCCTTATCCGAAAAAGGAGATGGGCAAAGAGTGGGAAGCTATAGTCCAGTTAGTTTGACCTCTGTAGTGGGGACGTTGTTAAAGTCCATCATAAAGGTGGAGATAACTGGACACTTGGAAAAAACAAAGCTCAATTCATCAGTTTGAGCATGGTTTCATGGAGGGCAAGTTCTGCTTGACAAACCAGCTGGAGTTCTTTGAGGATGTAATGAGCAAGGTGGATAATGGGGATCTGGTGGATTTGGTTCATCTAGACTTCCAGAAGGCATTTGACAACATGCTGGATAGAAGACTGACCCAGATGGTTAGATCCCAAGGGGTTAAGGGTAGAATACTGGCTTGGGTGGAGGTTTGGTTGACTGACAGAAACAGAGGTTCATGATAAAAAGGTCCTTCTCTGGATGGTGAACTGTAACCATTGGGGTGCTGCGGGGCTCAGTTCTCCGACTTCAACTATTTACAATCTCCATAAATGATCTGTAAGCAGGGACAGAATGTAACATAGCTAAATTCGTGGATGATACTTAAAGTAGGTGGGCAAGCAGGCAGTGATGAGGAGATAGAGTTTTACAGATGGATATTGATAGGCTAGGGGAATGGGCCAGAATCTGGCAGATGGAGTTTAATGTGGATCAGTGTGAGGTTGTCCATTTTGGCTGGAAAAGTAAAAGGGCAAATTATTATTTCAATGGGAATCAGATTTAGAGTGTGTCCACGCACAGGGATCTGGGCCTGTTTGTGTATGAATCACAAATGGGTATGCAGGTTCAGCATATAATAAGAAATGCACATGGAATCCTGGCATTCATTGCAAAAGGCCTGAATTATAAAAGTAGTGTTGCTACAATTATGTAAGGTGTTGGTGAGACCACACCTGGAATATCATGTCCAGTTTTGGTCTCCTTACTTGAGGAAGGATATGGCAAGACTGGAGGCAGTTCAGAGGAGGTTCACCTGGTTGATTCCAGGGATGAAAAGGCTGTTGTGTGAGGAGTGGTTGAATACTTTGGGCCTGTACTCACTGGCTGTCAGGAGAATGAGGTGGTGGTCTGATTGAGGTCTATAAAATGCCGAAGGGGAATGATAAGATAGATGTTGAACAAATGCTTCCCCTTGTGGGACAGTCTGGAACAAGAGGTCATAGATATAGAGTGAGAGGAGGTAGGTTCAAAACTGAGATGAGGAGAAACTACTTCTCTCGGACGGCTGTGAATCTGTGGAACCCGCTGCCCCAGAGTGCAGTGGAGGCAGAATCAATCAACAGATTCAAGAAAGAAATAGACATTATTCCTGATGAAAAGCAGGATAAAGGTCTATGGGGAGCAGGCAGGAAAGTGATGTTGAGACCAGGATAAGATCATGTAAAATGGCAGAACAGACTCGAAGGGCCAAATTGCCTACTGCTGCTCCTAATTCCCATGTTACTATTCTCACAACAGTTTAATATAGGGAGAGAGAATAACAACTATTTTTTCTGCCACCAGTCTCACGCCACCAGAATGCCTCCCCCACCCTCCGGAACAAATTGACAATGTTTAAAAGAACATCCTTTTCAATAACCCATCCTGAACAAATGAAAGCCTCCTGCTGATTATGGCATGGCTGCCTTTGGGAATGATTCATGACAGCAGGCTCAGGATTGTCCCATCTGCTCCTCTTTTATGAGGGGGTGGGTTTGCAGAGGCTGGGTTGCTAACTCCACATGGATGTATTCCTGAAAGTTTCGTCATCTCGACTTCACTCCAGCTCCTATTGGTCATCTGATATGTCAATCCCACAATGCATCCCTCCCCAGCACCAATTGGAGAATGAACAGATTCTTGTTATCAGATTGCACTGCACTGTTCTTGATTTGGCTGATCAACAGGCTTCTTGTGCTGCCTGCAATAGTTTAATCATTTCAGTTAACAGGGTTCCAAGAAAATGAAGAACAAAACATTGTTTATACTGCTCCTGTGATTTTTCTCATTTGTTGCTCACAGTCAGTGTTGGGAGAACAATCTGAATTAGAGCCAAAGTCATAGAGATGTACAGCACATAAATAGACCCGTCCAACACGTCCATGCTGACCAGATATCCTAAATAAATCTAGTCCCATTTGCCAGCATTTGGCCCCGTCCCTCTCAATCCTTCCTATTCGTATACCCATCCAGATGCCTTTTAAATGTTATAATTGTACCAGCCCCCACCACTTCCTCTGGCAGCTCATTCCATACATGCATCACTGTGGAAAAAGTTGCCCTTAGGTCTCTTTTAAATCTTTCCCCTCTCAACTTTAAAGCTATGCTCTCTAATTTTGGACTCACCTACCCTGAGAAAAAGACGTTGCCTATTCACCCAATCCATGCCCTTTATGGTTTTATAAACCTCCACAAGGTCATTCCTCAGCCTCTGACACTCTCTCTATAGCTCAAACCCTCCAACCCTGGCAACATCTTTGTAAATCTTTTCTGAACCCTTTTGAGTTTCACAACATCCTTTCTATAGCAGGGAGACCAGAATTGCATGCAGCATTCCAATAGTGGCCTAACCAATGTCCTGTACACAGCTGCAACATGACCTCCCAACTCCTATACTTAATGCACTGACCGATAAAGGCAAGCGTACCAAACACCGCCTTCACTATCCTGTCTACCGGTGCCTCCACTTTCAAGGAACTGTGAACAGATTCCGAGGTCTCTTTGTTCAGTAACACTATCCAGGATCTTACCATTAAGTGTATAAGTCCTGCCCTGGTTTACCTTTCCAAAATGCAGCACTTCACGTTTATCTAAAACTCCATCTGCCACCCCTCAGCCTATTGGCCCATCTGATCAAGGTCCCTTTGTACTGTGAGGAAACTTTCTTCACTGTCCACTACACCTCCGATTTTGGTGTCATCTACAAACTTACTAACCATACCTCCTATGTTCACATCCAAATCATTTATATAAATGACAAAAAGCAGTGGAACCAGCACCGATCCTTGTGGCACACCGCTGGTCACAGGTGTCCAGTCTAAAAAGCAACACTCCACCACCCTCTCTCTTCTACTTTTGAGCCAGCTCTGTATCCAAATGGCTAGTTTTCCCTGTATTCCATGTGATCTGACTTTACTAACCAGTCTACCATGAGGAATCTTGTCGAACACCTTACTGAAGACCATATAGATCGCATCCACCGCTTTGCCCTCATCAATCCTATTCGTTACTTCTTCAAAAAATTCAATCAAGTTAGTGAGACATGATTTCCCATGCAGAAAACCATGTTGTAGAAAGACATTCCTGGAGAACACTTGATGTTGTCCATATCTCTCCAACATTTTATATTTTCTAAACAGTGGGAAAATAAATGTTCATATTTAAAGGTGCATCTGAGACTTTTAATTCAAGATCAAAATCATTGGCCCAGTACATTTTTAGACAATATTTTCCAAAGGTTTCTTTACCATTATCATTTTAAAAACTTTTCCATTTGAATATCTTCACTTCATTAGGTTAAAATAGCTAAATATTACGGTCTTAAAGTATTATTCCCAGATAATTTTAAATTTTTATGAAGGCTATAACGCATGTTAAATATGGATTTAATTTTCATCAGTGCTTTCTCGCATGGTCAAAGATGCCACTGGCTCTGTAGGTCCCATAGTTCATGGTTAAGAGATCGGAATGATGCAGCCAAGAGAACTTATGACCACCAAATGTTTAATGTTCAACATTTCTTCAGTAACAGTGTACACACAGAATTTTGACAGTCTTGCTATTGTTGGTCACCATTATTTGTTCCCAGGTGATGTTCATCCTGTGGAAAATTAAACAGGTGATTATTGGAAGTGCTTTAGAATATAGAACAGTACAGCACAGTACAGGCCCTTCAGCCCACAATGTTGTGCTGAACTTTTACTCTAAACCTAAGGTCTATCTAACCTCCACTCCTACCTTATACTATCATCCATATGCCTATCTAATATCTGCTTAAATGCCCCTAATGAGGCCAACTCCACTACTCTCTCCGGCAATGCATTCTACGCCCCAACCACTCTCTGAGTAAAGAACCTACCTCTGACGTCTCCCCTATATCTACCTCCACTCACTTTTTTTAAAACTAGGTCCCCTCGTAATAGCTACCTCCACCCTAGGAAAAAGTCTCTGGCTTTATCAACTTGGCATTCTGGTTCCACTCATGGTCTTTTGGTTTTTCATCATATCTGTGCTGTAATAGGTGACAGGATTGGCACACTTTTTTGCATTTTGAGTCAGTTAATTAAGTTTGAGTTTGACTGTGGAGGCTGAAGTTTATAATCTAGGCTGACACTCCAGTGCAATAACGATGTAATCTCTCAAATGAAACATTGGCTTTTGTCTGAAAGGCAGAGTTTAATGACCTCATTGGGCTGGTTGGAGATGTTGGGGAGTTCTCGTTAAAAGGGCTATAGTAATTGTCCAATCTACACATGCTGCAAAATTCTCACTCATATTCAGAGGAGATTATTGATGTGATTTTACCTCCGACAAGGCGTTTTACCTAATGCAACAATGCTTCCGTTACCTAATGCAACAATGCTTCCGTTATCTCCAGTAACACAAGGTAAAGTCACCATAGTCTTTCCAGAACATTGGTTGCTCTTTCTTTAGAGAGAGAGATAATTAGTAAAAACTGAAAGAACTGCGGATGCTGTAAATCAAACGAAAACGGAAGTTGCTGGAAAATCTCAGCAGGTCTGGCAGCATCTGTGAAGAGAAAGCAGAGTTAATGTTTCGGGTCCTGTGACCCTTCCTCAGAACCTGAAACATTAACTCTGATTTCTCTTCACAGATGCTGCCGAACCTTCTGAGCTTTTCCAGCAACTTCCGTTTTTGTTTGAGAGATAACTAGTGATAGTTTAACCTGAGGGTCACCACTCCTCAGGAGAGGGGAGCATTTGAGGAGAGTTTGTCATGGTAACCTTAGCTGGTGTGGGAATTGAACCCATGCATTTGGCAGCACTCTGCATTGCAAACTACCTATCTAGCCAACTGGACTAACTTGTTACACAATCATGGTATTAAAGGATCCGACAGGAATTTACTAAACTATTATATACCAACATTATATTTGTCAGGCACATCATTGTTTGGGCTAATGTTACACTATGAAGTTACACAAGAGTAGCAATTAGTGTATCATGCTTCATGTGGTCTAGGGTGAGATGAAGCATGAGATTTTTATCTCCTCGGGTTACGTATTATGATGCAGTGATGATATTGCAAACATGCCTGTTCAAGAGAAAATGACAGATTGACCCTGTCACATAATGATTGTTGTAACTATCAGGAAAAATGAAGGCAGATGGGTGACATGATACAGGACTTCTTAATTATTGAAGGATTTTACAGTGAAGATGTTGTTCCCACATCTAGGGCAGTCCAAAACTGGAGGACAGATTTATAAGAAAGTCCGTAATAAATCCCAAAAGAATGCACAAGAAAGCTTTTTCTCCAAAAAGTGTTGGGAATGTGGAAATGGTTGCCATAAAGTGTGGTTGTAGCAAATAGGTACATTTAAAACGAAGCTGGATAAGTACATAGGCAGAAAGGAATAGCCTTTCTTGATGCAGATGGATGAAATTAAGTGGGAGAATGCTTAGGTGGAGCATAAAAACTGGCTGAATGGCCTGTTTCAGTGGTGAACAGTCTATAATGTAACATTGAAAATGACATGAATCCCATGTTAAGATAGCAATGAAGGATCTGTAACCAGACCAGTATGAACAGATCATCATAGCAATGATGGCTGGAATTCACTGGATCACACATAGGAAGAAATTACACTGAATTTTTTTTTGTCTTTAGTACTGGAATATTTGGTTCCTTCTTAATCTAAACTGACTGCTATGAAATCATAAAGCTCTTCCTGAAAGTGGCAAGGGGTGGCACAGTAGCACGGTGGTTCGCACTGCTGCCTCACAGCACCAGGGACCCAGGTTCGATTCCAGCCTCTGGTATCTGTCTGTATGGAGTTAGCACGTTCTCCCAGTGTCTGCATGGGTTTCCTCCGGGTGCTCCAGTTTCCTCACACAGTCCAAAGATGTGCAGGTTAGGTGGATTGGCCATTGCTAAATTGCCTGTAGTGTTCAAGGATGTGTAGCTTACGTGGGTTATAGGGGGATGGGTCTGGGTGGAATGCACTGAGGTTTGGTGTGGATTTGTTGGGCCGAAGGGCCTGTTTCCACACTGTAGGGATTCTATGAAGAAGGGCAAATAATTGGGAAATTTGACCCCAAAGAAATAACTGCCCCTTTCTTGCCATCTCAGTAACTAAATCCATGGGAGATAGTAGGAACTGCAGATGCTGGAGAATCAGAGACAACAAGGTGCAGGGCTGGATGAACACAGCAGGCCAATGCTCCTATGATGCTGCTTGGCCTGCTGTGTTCATCCAGCCCTGCACCTTGTCTCTAAATCCATGGGAGACCTGCTTAACTTGCTGTCAATTAAGGCCCTGAAGTGATCAATTAATGACTGTTTAAAGGTCTGTACTTGCCATTGGCTGAGTTGTTTGCTTTTGAGAGGATGTGCTACCTGCTGGGAGAGGGGAGAGGCATTTTGGAATCAAAGATGGTGGGGTAGAGCGAGAGCGAGAGCAAGCAGGTGGCTGATGAAATCTGAACCCCCTTCTCTTATCCAACCCCTTTGACCCTCCTCAACTAGAGATGCCCTCACCCCAAAATAAAAGGCCTGCTCAACTTCTTGCTGTTTCAGCCTTTTGTGATTTCGTAGCTTGGGCCTCTAGCGATAATCTCCAGGACCAGAAACTGTTGGCCTCTGATTAGCTGGCAGCATCAAGCAGGATGTGACTTCACTGACAGATTTCCTGATTGGAAGAGAAGCTCATTGCTCAGGACTTTTATGTATCCAATTGACGCTTGATCAGGTGAGTTTTTTATGCTGCTGGGATTGGGACAGTAATTGTCCCTGAAGTCACCAACCCCTACACTTAGTGCACATTCCCCATTCACTCCATTGACACTTTTCAGATTTCTAAATGAAGGTAAAGCTATTAAACTGCCTTTTGTCATCACCTGTGGTAGTAGTAATAGGAAGTTCAGTGATGCTCTAACCCTAACCCTATTGCTTTTGTAAGTAATGAAGTAGTTGTGAAGCCCAGCCACTGTTGTATTCATGTATCACTTAATGGGAACTTAATTTCCCCAAACCAAATTTTTGCTTTTGCTAACTGAAGATGACTCTTGCTGGGTTACAATTTCATCAAGAGTCCTTGGATATCTTTACCTGGTCTGAGGAATAGCTACTAACTTATAGCCTATTTGCCAATAAATGACCCTACAGAAGGGTCCACTGGCTAAGTCTGTTCTCCTCAATTAGAGGCAAATTCCAGAGTCTTCAAAGCCTCTCAAACTCAGATCAACCTTACGCTGGAGATACTGTGGACTGAGGCTGGGGCTTATTGTCCAGTTCCACAACTAACATATCCATCAGAGTCCTACAGCATGGAAGCAGACCCTTCAGTCCAACTCGTTCACACTGAACAGACATTCCAATCTGACCTAGTCCAATTTGCCAGAATTTGGCCCATATCCTTCTAAAGCATTCTTATTCATGTACCCATCCAATGCCTTTTAAATGTTGTAATTGTACCCACCTCCACCACTTCCTCTGGCAGCTCATTTCATACATGCATCACTGTGTGGAAAAAGTTACCCCTCAGGTCCTTTTTAAATCTTTCCCCTCTCACATTAAACCAATACCGTCTAGTTAAGAGCTTGCCTATTTACCTATCCATGCCCCTCATGATTTTATGACCCGCTATAAGGTCATCCCTCAGCCTCTGATGCTCCATGGAAAATAGCTCCAGCCTATTCAGCCTCTCCCAATAGTTCAAACCTTCAAACCCTCCAACCCCACCAAATTATTGTAAGTCTTTTCTGCACTCTCTCAAGTTTAACAACATCTTTCCTATAGCAGGAAAACCAGAATTGTGGATTTGCTTAGAAATTTCAAACTCAGTTTACTTATAGTCATTACAATCGGGAACAGGATGGGTAAGTTCTTGAATAAAATACACATGAACTAGTAGCTAATTTACCCTATATACTATACTCTTTATTTAAAAGGGTAATATCATCTAAAAAATGGTCATTAGAAAAGACTATAAAATTCATCAATGTTTTATCCATCTGGTAGCAGGGCAACTCATTTAGAGTAACCCCCTTGGAAAGGCATCACCATATTTAACTGAATGACACCATGGAGAAACCCATGCAGGTGGAGGCTAGAAGAATTGAGAACGGGTTGAAAAGACCCAAGGAGTTTGAGATCCCTAGGGACAGGCAGTGGCGCAGACAAAATGACACCTACAACAGTGATGAGATTGTCTGATACTTGGTCGATCTACCCACTAGGGCACTGACTCAAAGTCAAGGATAGAACCAACATGCCATTGATGGGCAAATGTCATCTGGGTGCCTTTTCTTTATTCTCAGGGCCCCATTTTCCCTCTGGGGACACTACTACACAGAAAGGCAGGGTATCCTAGCCCTGGCAAATATTTACCTCTCAATAAACAATGCAAAAACAGCAGAAGGGTCTAGGCCCGAAACGTCAGCCTTCCTGCTCCTATGATGCCGCTTGGCCTGCTGTGTTCATCCAGCTCTACACCTTGTTATAACACATCGCTGTTTGTGGAAACTGGCTGCATGCAAATTGACAGCCATGGTTTCTGCATGCCAGAAGTGACTGCATTTCTAAAGTACTTCACTGGTGAAATGCTAGGGCGTTTTTTTTTTGGAAATGTTCGTGTTTTCTTTAACCTCATTTGGACGGTAATAGAAAATTTTGGGGGTATAACTTTTAACTCTGACCCAATCACTTGTGCATGGCATCCCCACCCCCAACACACACACACACAGACACACAGAGTTAGTCACAAAATAACTTACACAGAAGGGATCTGTGCCGCTGTCTGTGGAATTTGTGAACTTGTTGTACATGGGGTTGCTGAACCTGTTGGGTACTGAGTCATCAAATGAGGACACACCTTCTCCTTCTTCAGACTGTAAACATAAAGAGTAAACCATCGCAAATACCATGATTCAAAATTGCCAGGTGTTTGCTTTGACTCTGCATGCAGTACCTAAGGATTATTAAGAATGGGCAAGCAATGCAGGATCTACCCACAACATGCAAATTCCATGACAGAATATTTTCAAAACTGCACTGTTTAGAAGGATGGGAGCAATGCATTGTTTCCCTATTGGCTAATTGATGAGGATTAATTGCTGTGATCAGTCAGCAACTCCTTCATTATTGTGTCCAGAATGGTAGAGGATAAACAAGCTGGGTTGCAATGTATTGCTGCCCAGCAACTTCCAGCAGAAGGATATTTGAGTTTGGTGCATTACCATTTTTATTCTTTCATTGAAAGGAGTCATTCTGCCCCTTTGCACTTGCAGCATCCATGGATGCAGATGGTGATATAACAATGTAGTGAGGGTCTGTGGTGCAGTGGTATCTATCTCTGAACCAGAAGGTCCAGGTTCAGGTTCTACTTGCCCCAGAGGAACCTCCGAACGTAGCTATAGCATTATATTTGCAATTCTTCAACCCTTGTTTGCTTACAGGTGAAACTTCCAGCTGTGAGGCCAGCTTGTACTTTGCTGTTTGTACTTAAATGCTGTCATCACAAGCACATCCAATTTTGTAGGAAGAATAGAAAAGAAGCATTTTTTTTAATGGTGAGAGATTGCACAGCAATGAGATGCAGAGGGTACTGGGAATCCTAATGCATGAATTGCAAAATACTACTCGACAAGTACAAGTAATTAGAAAAACGAATTTATAATTTATTGTGAGGGGAAGTGAATACAAATGTAGTGCGGTTATGATTCTAATATAGGGAATTTGTGAGGCCATATTTAGACTATTATGTCAAGTATTGGTCACTTCATTTACGGAAGGATAGAGATGCTTTGGAAGTATTTCAGAATGGGAAGGTTGTCTAATGAGGAAAAGTTGGAGAGGCAATGTCTGTACCCACTGGAGTTCAGAACAGTGAGAGGTCACTTGATTGAAACATATGATCCTGAGGGTATCTCCGATATGGAAAGGATATTTCCTCTTGTGGGAGAATCTAAAATTAGGGCTCACTGTTTAAATATAAGGAACCATCCATTTAAAAAAAACTGGGCGTCTTTTTTCTCTCAAAGGGTTGAGTGTCTTTGGAACTCTCTTCCTGAAAAGATGGTGGGAGCCAAGTCTTTGAGTATTTTTAAGGCAGAGGGGAATAGGGGGTAGATAGCAGGGGTGGCCAGTAATCTGCACTTGTGGTTACAATCAGATCAGCCATGATTTCGTAGAATGGCCGAGCAGGGCGGAAGGGCTGAATGGCCTATTCATTCTCCTAGTTTTCATGTAGCTTAGCATTTGGGAGTGAGGGTGTAACTCACGCAGTTAGAATGAGTCTCAGTTGATAGAGTTTTAAAAATTGGACTGTAGCAGTTTGATAATGTGATAGATGTGCACCATAGGAGCCAAGGAGGGAAGAGAATGATTTTCAATATCTTCAGACAGTTGATGTGTTACCTTGAAATACTGGAAGCTGAAGGGTCCCCTTCGGTGCTTGTGGTAACAATACACAGCCAATGCAAAAGCAGCTATTACCAGGGTGCAGGCAAAGAAAATTCCCACTCCTGCTCCTGTGTGAACAGCATGAGGTTTAACCTAATAGAAAGCGGAAGGGAAGGAGTTAGATTTCCACTGAGAGTGAACAGTAACATTAACTTAGATTTGTACAGTGGTCTTAATCATTGTAAATAAAAGTCCCAGGATGTGTCATCAGATAAGGTTAGCCACAAAAGGAAACATTTGATCAGATCACCCAAGCATTGACCAGAGTGGTGTGTTTGTAGGGAGTCACTCGCAGGAGGCAAGAGAGGTTTAGAGCGGGAATTTTAACATGCAAGACTGAAGGAAGCTGAATGTGATAATAGGTGAACCCATTACTGGCACAATGAAAATTGATGTGCATTCTAAGGCTCAACAACAGTATGGGGGATCCCAATACTGACCCAATATGGAAGCTTTCAAACGAGGGAGCAGTGGCAGGTAGAGCGGAAAGTGTGGCTTCAGGTGAGAAAAGAAAATAGACCTTTTGTGTATGTGGTTCCCTTTATCAGTTTTTCCTGAGCTGCAGATCAGTCGTGATCTTGAGAGAGAATGAAAGTCTAAAACCGCCTGTTCAACTGCAGTATAAAAGAAATGAGCATTTGATGATACAACTCTGTTACATAAATAGTCTGAATACACGTAGAAATAGATACACGAACTGCTTCTTCCCTGCTGTTATCAAACTTTTGAATGGACGTCTCAAATGTTAATTCTGAGCTCTCTCTCTCTGCAGCTATAACACTGTATTCTGCACTCTGTTCTGCTGCTCTGATGCACTTTGTATGGTAGGATCTGCCTGTATGGCACACAAAAAGCACTTTTTTCACTCTATTTCGGTACATAGAATCCCTACAGTATGGAAGCAGGCTATTTGGCCCATCAAGTCCACACTGACCGTCTGAAGAGCATCCCACCCCTGTGACCCTGCTTTTCCTATGGCTAATCCACCTAGCCTACACATCCCTGCACACTGGGCAATTTAGCATGGCAAATCCACCTAACCTGCACATCTTTGGAGGAAACCAGAGCACCTGGAGGAAACCCACAAAGACCCAGGGAGAATGTGCAAACTCCACACAGAGAGCCAACCAAGGCTGGAATTGGACCCAGGTCCCTGAAGCTGTGAGGCATCATGCCACCCCAATTTATATGTGACAACAATAAAATCAATCCAGTAATAACTTGAGTTCATTGCTGAAAAAGGACACATGATTGAAGCTTTTCGCCTTGCACTCATCAGGATATTTTGCAAGAGTGCAAATTCAAGGAGAGTCCCAACATATTTACGACATGAGATGACAGTGCTGATTGATTAGCCCCCATGCAGTTTAAATGTTGGCTTTCCCCACAAATTTGTGTTCTTGCAAAACGTCCTGATGAACGCAAGATGAAAAGCTTTTGATAAAATGTGTCTTTTTCTCTGCATACGCAAATATAACTTTGAAGTTCTTGCCCTCACTGAAGCATGGGACTGCATACATAAAGTTTAAGACCCTGTTCTTGATTATGTTCTGCTATTACCGTTGTACTCCAATTTAGAACTTAGCAACGACGAAGATGGGAACTGCACTTTCCACATCATCAAACCCATGTCATTCAAACAGGTTCTCGTAGTGATGCATTTTTACATGTTTCTAATCAAAGCTGCTCAGTTTATGATATGAAAGCCCACCAGAAGTTATCATTGCTGTGACTCGAGAGTCCATGAGCTAGAATTCAAAACCATCTCAACTCTCTTTGAAGGAATGACGAATCTCCCCAGCTACAACAGCTGATGTAAAAATTAAACTCCCAATAAGAGCAGAATTATTTCAGCTCACTCCAAAAATTACATTCCAGCTCACAACAAAATTTGTTATTCATATGCCAGACTGGTTTGTTTCCTGAAATATTAATGATTTTGCCACAATTTCATACCACAGTAAAACTATCTATTTAGAACTACAGCAAAGTCTCCCAAATACAGCAGGATTATTTTTCCATCAAAGAGGTTGGAGGATTGTGTGAATTTTGTGTGTGAGATCATCTCAGTCACCGTATGGTATCTTGAACTTTGTAAACAGAGGTCTTGAGTATAAAAGGAAGAGGGATGTATACTTGAAACTGTATAAAGCTCTGGTTACACCACAACTAGGGCATTGTGTCTAGTTCTGGTCACCACATTTTGTAAGGATGTGAGGGTTCTCAAGAGGGTGCAGAGGAAAGTCACCAGAATAGCTTCAGGGATGAGGCATTATAGGGGCATGTTTGGATTGGTGAAGCTCTCTTTGAAGTAGAGGATGTTAAAAGGAGATTTGATGGTGGGGTACAAGATGATGCCAAGCAGTGAAAGAACGCTCCTTCGGTGAATTGATGGTACAAAGTGCAGGGAAAACCGATTTAAAGTTCTGGGCTAAAGCTTTCTTCCGATAGCTGGGGAAATCCCCTGGAGCTTCAAATCAAACACCATTGTGGGTATACCAACACCACATGGACAGCAGCGATTCAAGGAAGGGCCTTACTACTCTTTTCTCAAGGAAAACAGGGGTTGGGCTATAAAACAAGAACCTTGCCTGCAACGCATGAATGAACACAAAATACTTTTCATTCTAATTGCATGTGAAATGCTTCATTGCAATGTTACTAGGTTGTATACTCGCTTACTGGTTCAAGGGGTGCTTGCAAAGGCTTATCAATAGCATGAATGATTCCGTTTGATGCAACGATGTCCCAGGCAACAATTGGCCGATCATTCACCAACTTTCCAATCTGCTGACTGAACTCAGGGCTCGGAGGGAGGGTAGTTCTCGCTGTCGTTATGAGCAGGGCGTGACCAATTGTACTCCGGATGAGGGTTCCATTCTCCATTTTGTGGTATATGTAGCTACTGAGATTAGAAAAGTGATATTCAATATCCCGTCCAGATAATGTCTGTGAATAAAAACAATACTTGTTAGTGTTTAATCAACTTTGCTCCCCCACCCTTTTATATTATGGTAGACAGTTTAATATCTGCTTTGTTAGTCCAATTGTAATGCCAGCATGCTAATAATCTGAATTAATAATTGGAGAGTTAAAATTCCAACCCACAGCAGTTTGAGAATTTACATTCAGTTTGAAATAAATTCTAGTCATGCAATACCATTGTCAGTAAAAAAAAAAGGCAAACTTTTTAAAAAAAGATGCCACTGTTTCATTGATGTCCCTTCAGAGAGGGAAACCCAATGTTACTGTGTGGTCAGGTGTGTGACTCCAGTTCCAAACCAACATGGCTGACTCTTAACCGCACTGTAAAGTGATAAAGCAAGCTACCCAGGTGACTCAAACCACGGACTGGATACGCTGGGATCGATAACAAATACAAGACCGTCTCTGTTGGTCCAAACAAAATCTTAAAAAGTAGAAAAATGTGTGTCAACATTCATAGCTACTTGTGGTAAAAATTTGAGCGGTGGAGGTTTCTGGTGAGCAGCATATATGCTGTAGACCATCTGCGAGGAGTTCTACTTCAATTTCTTGGAAAGCTGAACTGCTAGTATCACAGACAATGAATGGAAAACCTGAATATTCAGCCTGAAAGCCTGAATTAAGAGGGCATGTATCCCACATAACAGCACAGAGTCTGTGGAGTAAGATGACAGCATGGTCTTAAAGCTAGGCTAGCCAAGGAGGAATGGTATATTCTGTAAGTTGGCTGGGGTTGGAGTGGGGTGGATTGTCTATTACTTCTTGCATATGGGAGTCAGAGGGACTAGGCAGGAATTTAACGTAGGTTGGAACCGTAATGCTGAGATGAACTCGAGAGGAAAGCAATGGTAGACTGCTCAAAGTGGGAGGAAGCTCTAAGGAAATATCTGAACAGGAAGTGGCCCAGATACTGTGCTAAGTTAGTTTCGGGTCTGGGATCTGAAGGGCAAAATTGCTGGGAGGGGGCGCATAACGAGTTAGGTAAGCCCCCAGTAAGGTAAGGCTACAGCAACAGCTGGCTATATGGAACAAGTGAAAGGGAGAGAATTTGAAAAAGCTTAAATAGAAAGAATACGTAATATAAAGAATAGAATTGAGCAAATGTGGGCCAAAATCCAAGAGCAGGAACAGAAGAACCAGGAGAATTTGCCGCACATGTTTCAGGCCCGGGGAGAGAAGCCCATGAAGGGGAACAATGTGTGATCTGGGATCATGTTGTAGCATGAAAAGTCATGACTGAGTTAGTCGAGAAATTGAGTCATTTGCAGACAGTGGTTGCAGCTCTCTGCCAAGCGAAACAAGAGTGATGGCCCAGCGCTACAGGTCAATCAAAGTGCAAGTGTGAGATTGATAGATTAAAGCGCCACCATGCGCTTCTGAAAGGGCTAATGTGCACCTTTAGGGTCAAGGGACATGAGCAGAAGGGATGTAGAGGAGGAAGCACGTTGGTATGCTTCAAATCACAAAGGATGGGGACCTACTCCTCCCTTCCCGGAGGAACCCCTACTCCCAATACCCCCCACCACCCCCAACCCGGCTTCCCCTTCTGGCACTGATGAACAGACTAGTCACCAAGACAGGCAAGGGGCTGCCAATGTCACCTACACCATCCCTTTCACCGTGGCACAACTGGCAGAGATAGCTGAAAAGTTCCCTGTCTGCCAACCCACCTCGGACCCCTGTGAATTATATCACTAGTCCCACCAACAGAGAATTTTGCACAGGCTGGGTGACACCAAGAAAATCAAGCTGATATTAATGTACTTCAGCCTGTAGTCTACTTCGCTTTGTCCCATCATCAAAACGTGGGTAGAGGGGTACTTGAGGACATGAAGGCCGTGGTTGGTTACAATAGGGGGGACTCCATGGATGGGATAATCAAGTACCAGCAAAAGAAAGGGAAAACCCGACCACATTCACCAGGCACCAGACAATCTTTACTGTTGGCTTCAGGCAGCTCGACAGAACCCAGCTCACATTACAGGATAGAGCCAACTGGACTGGGACCCTAAGCTCACATACCACCAGAGTGGCAAGTGCTGTGGTAATTTTGACCTTGCCAGTGATCCACATGGAATTGTGGGTGCTCCAGAGAAAGACCCATGCATAGGAAAAGGATGTCCAGGAGTTAGAAACCAAGCCAAGCCCAGCAAGGCTGGAAAGATGAAACTATCCAGGGCAGATCCCAACAAACAGCAAAATGGAAATGGCGGGGGCAGCTACAGAGGTGCCCTGTCCCCATACACCCCACCAGGGCAAGCTCGGGACCAATCGTCACAGGGGAGGTGCTACGACTGTGATCAGATTGGCTCTTGTGCCAGGGAGTGTCTTGAAAAGCCAAAGCAGACATTGGTGCCAAGAGAAATTTTTTAGTCTTCTACTCAGGAAGAACTCAGGAATAAGAAGGAGATTATTTTGAAAGATGAAACTGTTGGACTTAAAAACACCACTAAAAATTGAGATTTTCCATTTTTAAATTCAACTAAAATTGACCCAATTATGAAGCAAGACTGATGGCTGAACAAACAATTTCTTCTTCCTACGTATGTACATGTTCTTTTTGGAGTCACAATGCTAATAGTTTGCATTATACGTCCTTTTTCACTAGTTAGACATAACACTGCCATTGAACACTGTAAAAGCCATGACAGAGTGCGAGTGAGACAGAATGAAATTATTATAGTATAGGCTATTTCACCTTCTGTAATTGGCTAATAAAGCTCAATTAGCTATCATAAATCCCTAGTTTTGCACAGGATATCATATAGACAATCTCTCAGTCCTTCTAATGGTGACCACTGTCGATTAAAAAGCCCATCTTCTTCACCACTGTCCTTTTGGAAAGGAAATCTTCCATCCATGCCTGATCTGGCCTACATGATACACCAGACCCATCAGCAATATGGCTGACTTGTAACTGTGTCTGAGCAATAAGGGGTATGCTGACCTATACTGGCTTAGACAGCGACACCCATATCCCATGTACAAGTCCAAAGACATTACAACTTCTGTTAAATGAGTTGCTGAATTGACACTGATGACATTGAGGTGGTGTAGAAACAAGCTATTCTTTGAGCAATTACTGCCATGTGTTGGCTAGTTCTGAGTTGCAGCCATCCATTCGCTGTGATTCACTGAGAAAATCTACTTTTCAGTCAGTGGAGACATATCTTTGATCTCATCAAGTCTGGATTTGTCCCCAGGTTGGAGTTATTACAGTAATGTGAAAGCCTTTCTTGTTACCATGATGTAATATGAGGTGAAGACTGGGTAGATTGTGTAGGAGCAATAACCTGAGTAATTGTATATATGGGTTACGTTAACTCTTAGGCATATTCACAGTCGTGAACAAATGGTAGGTAGAACATGTAAACCTTGTCAGTCTGATAACTGTCTGAACTGCCTCTAACTCTACAATACTCCATGCAGTCGCTGTGTAATATCTCAGAATGAGCAACACTTTAGATTAACTCAGCAGGTCTGGCAGCATCTGTGAAGGAAAAAACAGAGTTAATGTTTTAGGTCCAGTGACCCTTCTTCAGAAGTAGAGTGCAACAAATGGAGTCACCTGGAAATTTTGATGCTTTTTCTTTCTTCCTTGGGAGATGCTGGAGAATTCTTAGGGAAATCATGTAAATGGCTGTTGATATGTGGTTCCTCAGGGGGTTCTATCCCATTTACAATCCCTAAGTGTCTTAAGGCATATTGAATGTTCTCACCCAAACATGTTTGTTTTTGAAAATAGGATGCCTTAGTCAAACGTCAGCGCGGGAATATCACAACCTTCTTCAGCCCAGAAAAATGCAGCACTTTTTGAATGCCATTACTGGCAGCATTAAAATTGACATCAATGCAAATTCATGTTGGCTTTGTTTTTTGGTCAGTATATTAGGTCTGCAATATTAACTGTGAACGTTTTAAGTGGTTGAGACTGTAACCTCAGTTTTCAAATCAACTCTGTTGCAATATGTATCAATCAATACTTGAATGGTTAAAAGAACATGGATTCTGCTAAATTCACAAGTGAAACCAAAAAATATAAAAAACATGTCAGACATTTACCACATTTTCATAGAATCCAGAGTTCACGGGGACAAATAGTGTGCCTTTGACTGACAGATCTGTGAGGACTTCTACAAACCTTCTGCCATTCTCTGTGGTGTTTGAATAATTGAGAAGTTTCTGGAAATAGGAAAACGACACTTTAGCCACAATCTCCAGTCTCCATCTTATCAGCTTTAGACCATTTCAAACCTTATGTACAACTAAAGTGTTCAATAATTGCCTCCAATTGCAGTATGGTGACTGACCATTATCAAACAGTGCAATTGCCTCAAATCCTTCAACTATATTTGTCAAGAAGGTGTAAAGTATATAATCTTATGTTTGGATAAGTTGCATTGCTGGTATGTAATTTGCTTTTTAATGAAGGATCAGAAACTGAAAGCATTTTAGTTAAAGCAAGAGATTCTACAATTATATATTTAATACTGATACATTTTCATCGCATCATGGTTAGATCTCTTACTGTTGATAAACATCATAGCATCATGCAAAACAGAATGAGGTTAATCACTCCATCTCAACTGTGCTGGCCCTGTCATCCAATCATTCCTACTTCCCTGTCCTACAGTCAGGATGTTTTTCTTTGAGAGTATATATCTGATTCCCTTTTGAAGGATTATCGTGTCACAGTAAGTTCACAGTGTCTGCAAGTTAGGCATTGACGATGTAATAATAGTGACTGTGCTTCACAAAAAAAAAGGAAGAATGAGCTTCCAATTATATGGTGTCTTGCACAACCACCGGTCATCCCAAAGTGATTCAATGAAATGCTTTGGAAAAGTTGGTTCAGGTTGTGACTTAGGGAGATATCGATCATTGGTTATAAAGCATAATGTGGCATCCTGAAAGTCTAGAAAGATGCAAGTGCCTTCTGTCCTTCTTAGCTGTTCTGTCCACTAAATTTGTTTGGCTCAGTTTGGTTCAATTCTTATCTTTGAGTCCCAAGATTCTAGATCCAAGTCACATTGGCTGTACAGGACATTGGTTAGGCCACTTTTAGAATACTGCATTCAATTCTGTTCTCTCTGCTATAGGAAGGATGTTGTTGAACTTCAAAGGGTTCAGACAAGATTTATAAGGATATTGCCAGGGTTGGAGGGTTTGAACTATAGGGAGAGGCTGAATAGCCTGGAGCTATTTTCCCTGTAGTGTTGGAGGCTGAGAGGTGATCTTGTAGAGGTTTATAAAATCATGGGGGGCACAGATAGGGTGAATAGCCAAGGTCTTTTTCTCAGGGTAGGGGATCCAAAACTAGAGGGCATAGCTTTAAGGTGAGAGGGGAAAGATATAAGGGATCTAGGAGGCAACATTTTCATGCAGAGGGTGATGCAAGTACGGAATGAGTTGCCAGAGGAGGTGGTGGAGGCTGGTACAATTACAACATTTAAAAGGAATTTGGATGGGTACATGGATAGGAATGGTTTAGAGGGACATGGGTCAAATGCTGGAAAATGGGACTAGATTAACTTAGGATATCTGGTCGGCATAGACGAGTTGAACTGATGGGTTTGTTTTCATGCTGTACATCTCTATGACAGCACTGAGATCTTAAAACTATCTCCTTGTTTGGGTGAATGTAAAAGATCCACTGCTACTGTTTCAAAGAAGAGGAAGGAATTAATCCCTGATCTCCTGGCCAATAATTATCCTTCAATTAATATCACAAAAGCCATCATTATGGCTATTGTGAAAATTATCATTGCTGATTTTGGAGTTTTCTGTGTGCAAAAGTGGTTGTTCCATTTCTACATAAATGAAGCATAAATCAGTGTTGGAAAACACTCCATGGCCAGTAAAGTATGTTAAGAAATCTGGTAGTTATGAAAAAAACACTATAAAAATGCAAGTCCTTCTTCATTTGAACTCTTCTGTGCTTGCTCATTGTCTGTTCTGTCGCATGTGAAGCAGCTTGGAGTGTTTTGTTATAACAGATAAAGCAGGTCGTTATAGATTATGAACATCAACTGCACATTTTGATTGTAGACAACATTGACACTTACAATTTCAATAGGGGAATCTAATAAATGTCTTTAAATTCGTGAAAAGCTTTGATGGAGTAGATGTGAAAAATTGTTCCATGTGTGAAGGAGTCCAAAACTAGGGGCTGTGAATTTAAGATAGTCACCAATAAATCCAGGAAGCAGTTCGGGAGAAATACCCAGAGATGGGTGAGAATGTGAAGCTTGCTACCAAAATGGGGTGGTTGGAACAAATAGCATTGATGGTTTTCTGAAAAATTTACACATTTTGTTGAAACTTTTCATTTTGCACTCATCAGAACAATTTGCAAGAACACCAATAATTTCATTGAAGGAGCTCTCCCACTTTAAATTGGAATTCTTGCAAATTGTCCTGATGATTGCAAGATAAAAAGCTTCAATAAAACATGATCTTTCAGTAGTGTTCAAGTTCTGCACTACCAAATACATATTGATATATTAAAGATTCAGAAGATAGATAAGTGCATCAGGGAAATTAACAGAAGGATATACTAATTGAGCTACATGAATTAAGCTGCTTACATGAAGCATTGATGGGAGAGCATGATAGATAAGGAGAGCTTCACTGTGTTTCATAGAAAAAACTTGTACAAAAGTAAGCTGTATTTTTATATGACTTTGATAAATAGGGCATGAGAATTCTGCCTATTGTTCCAGTTGGACCAAGTAACTGGTTTCTATGCTGTACGCCTATCTTAATCTACTCAAAAGATAAAACATAGCTACTCACTGTAAGGAAGGTGGAAAACTTGTCAACGCTTGTTAGAACTTGCAGCAGGTTCCCATTACATGAATAGCCATTGCCCACATAACCTTTCTTACACGTGCATTGTACATCTGTGTGCAGAAAGGGCAGTGACACTTGAGTTTTAATCATTGAAACAAAAGGCTTTCAGAGGTAACAAAATAAGTGCGTTTCTTACCTTTCATTCGATAGCAGTAAGCATCCCATGTTTCACTAATATTGGCTCGGGGTCCATAGTCTACTATTCCCACGTGCCCTGAGCCACAGTTTGGATTGGAATAACTGGTTGGATAGGATACTCTCTGGCCATCCAGCCAACCAGCTGAACACAAATGGTAACCTGCCTGAAACCAGAAATCAATGGTACAATTGCTCAAAAGATCCAGTTTTATGCAAAGTGTTCTCAATGCTAAGTTAGTTTATATTAATACCACTGTTGGAATAAACTTATAATTAGTAATAACACAAGTAATAGTTGAGAGAAACAGCACTGATGAATTTCTGGAGATGCTAGACAAGCACATGTGAAAGGAATAGAAGGATATAATGATGGGTTAACAACATCGGAACACCTTTGTGGTTACTCATTGGATAAGACTTCCGTTTGGGGAGCATTTTCCTGACCACCTTAAAAAAACGGAACTGTGTTGCAAAGAGAACTGGTTGAGTGAGAACAGTGCTCGTTCTTCCTTGGGTGGCCTTGAACCACCAATCTCTTGCTTAATGGCCAAATGCGCTGATCAATTGTGCCACAGAGAATGGTATTACATACTGATATAATGATGGGGTTAGATAAAGAGGGGATGGACACTGGCTTGTGTGGAGCACAAATAGCAACTTAGACCGATTGGGCAAAATGGCCTGTTTGTGTTTGAAACATCCAATGTAATTGAGACAATTGTAGATTATTTTATGTAATGATGCTATTCTAGTGGGGACACACCAACAGTGTGGGGTCAATCCCTGGTACTCGTTGGGATAGCCCCGTTCCATAGTTGATGCAGTGATGTTCCTTTAACTACATAATTGATTGTCTCTGGTCTTTGTGGGTGATGCTTATGACCTACCTAGATATTGATCTATTTGATGACACATGCAAAGTTTAAACAGACCTGCTGAGCGTAGGCTAGCTGATTGTACGTGGCCAACACTGCTTCCTCTGCTTTGCACAATTTCTGTGCTGCTAAATAGTTCAGCTCGTACTGTCCCTTCTCAGATTGTAGATGGAACACTCCCACTGTTTTGTCTGAAGGAAAAAGAAAAATTTTATCAAGTACTTGTCAAACATGCATTTACACCCTAACACCTCTTCCTATAAGACAGTCTCTCCTATTGTGGTATCAGTCTAGTGAACTTTCTCTTGCTGCCTACAATGCCAGCATATCTTTGCTTAGAAAAGCGGCCTAAAACTGTTTAAGTATTCCAGCTCTGAGGAAGGTTCATGGGACCCGAAAGGTTAACTCTGATTTTTTCCTTCACAGATGCTGCTGGATCTGCTGAGCTTTTCCAGCAGCTTCCATTTTTGTTAAGTATTCCAGTTGTGGTCTGACAAGAACCGATCATAATTTTAGCAAAATTTTCCCACTTTTGTACTGCATTCTTTTTGAAATAAAGGTCAATAGTCCATTTGCCCTCCCTATTACGTGTTGAACTTGGACGCTAGCTTTTCGAAATTCATAGATGAGAAACTCTCAAATCCCTCTGTTCCATAGCTTTCTGCAATCTTTCTACATTTAAATAATATTCAGTAGACAAAAAAAACCTGAAAGAACCGCTGAAAATTTGAAACAAATACAGAAATTGCTGGAAAATCTCAGCAGGTCTGGCAGCATCTGTGGAGAGAAATCAGAGTTAATGTTTTGGGTCCAGTGACCCTTCTTCAGAATTTTGTTGTTTTTGTTGTAAATAATATTCAGCTTGTCTATTCTTTCTGCCAAAATACATAAACTCGCATTTTCTTGCATTATGTTCCATCTACTAAGTCGATAAGGCTCTTGAGATAGGGGCAGAAATCTTACCTCAAAGCAATGAACAATACTCCCATTGGAGAGGTGTTGGCCTGGGTGGCAGTGTCAGTAAACTGGTAATATATGGAACCCCAGATTAATGTCCTTGGGTCATGGGTATCATGACTGAAGGCAAAATTTGAATTCAATACAATCTGGAATTAAAAGCTAGACTAATGTAATGGCAAATGCAATATTAGCATCCATTTCAAGAGGGCTAGAATACCAGAGCAGCGATGTACTGCTGAGGCTGCATAGACTCTACTCAGACTGCATTTGGAATATTGTAAGCAGTTTTGCGCCCCGTATCTAAGGAAGGATGTGCTGGCATTGGAAGAGGTCCAGAGGAGGTTTACAAGAATGATCCTGGTATTGAAGGGTTTGTCGCATGAGGAGCAGTTGAGAACTCTGGGTCTGTACTCGATGGAGTTTAGAAGGTTGATGGGCAGATCTCATTGAAACTTACAGAACACAGAGTGGAAGTGGAGAAGATATTTCCACTTGTAGGAGTGTCTAGGACCCGAGGGTACAGCCTTAGGGTGAAGGGATGACCCTTTAGAGCTGAGATGATGAGGAATTTCTTCAGCCAGAGGGTGGTGAATCTGTCGAACTCATTGCCATGAAAGACTATGGAGGCCAAGTCATTAAGTGTCTTTAAGACAGAGGTAGATAGGTTCTTGCTTAATAAGGGGGTCAAGGGTTACAGGATGAAGGCAAGAGAATGGAGTTGAGAAACATATCTGCTATGATCAAATGTGAAGCTGACTCGAAGGGCTGAATGGCCTAATTCTGTTCCTATGTCTAATGGCGACCATGTAACTCTTATTGTAAAAACCCATCTGGTTCGCTAATGTCCTTTAGGAAAGGAAACAGCCACCCTTACCTGGTCTGGCCTACATGTGACTCCAGACCCACAGCTACATGGTTGACTCTTAACTGCCCTCTGAAATGGCTAAGCAGGTCACTCAGTTCAAGTGCAATTAGGAATGGGTAGCAAGCGCAGGCCCTGTCAGCTATGCCCACATCCCATGCAAGAATAAAAAAATTGCTGTGGGCAGGTCATTTGGAGCGGGGTGCTCCCAACAATTTGGCTGCAGGGATGGAGAGCATATGATGCCCCCCTCCACCACCCACCCCACCCCATAATAATCCATTATTTCAAAATACGTTGTGGTGTATTCCCCACCATATGATCTACAATCTATCACAAGGTATCTGCTTTCAGTACGTTTGAAGCCATGTGGAATTATAGATTAAAACAAAGCAGAATATAGTGTAACTAACAGTCCTCTATAGAAATGGCCATCATTCTAATGGTAACTCTTGTTCTGCAACAGAAGTGTACATTAAAACGTGAACAATAACTACCTTCGTAATGCAGGTCAGCACAGTTGGCATCTGCGTGACACTTGCCATTGTCTTGCACACATCGATTCACAAGGAGCTGTTTTACAGTGCAATTAGTTCCATCTCCGATATAATTGTCCTTGCATGCACATTTCCGTCTATTCTGTTACACAAGGATTCTAGGTTAGTCATTGATTAACTCAGCATACACCAACAATTTCTCACCCATTTCAGTCAGATACACACACTTTGCATTCATCAAGAAAGAGACCTCATTAAATGATTGATATGGATGATACCAGAACTGAGATGTTATAAACGATGTTATGAAGGTGTCACTTTGCTCATTTTGGTAGTAAGAAAAGTAAAACAGAATATTTTCTAGAAGGTGAGAAACGTGTTTATTGTTGATGTTCAGAGAGATTTGGCGAGGAATGCAGAAAGTTAGCATGCAGGTACAACAAGAAATTAGAAAGGCATATGGTGTTTTGGCCTTTGTTGTAGGAAGATAGGGGTACCAAGATAAGGAAAACTGGCCACAATTGAAGAGGACTATGGAGAGATCACACCAGGAAAAATGAGAGGAGATTCGATTGAGGTATACTAGATCCTGAAGGGGATCGACAAAGTAGATGAGAGTGGATGTTTTGCAAGTGAGAACAAGAGGTCTCAGTTTTAGGCTAAGGGATGGCAGATTTCAAATAGAGATGAGGAGGAATTACTTCTCTCAAAGGATTGTGAATCTGATAGAGTCCCTCCAGTGCAGAAAGAGGCCATTCAGCCCATTGAGTCTCACCAACCCTCTAAAGAGCACCCTACCCAGACTGAACCCCACCATCCCCATTATCCCTCATTTCCCATGGCCAATCCACTTGGTCTGCACATCCCTGGACACTATGGGGCAATTTACCATGGCCAATCCACCTAACCTGCATATCTTTGGACTGTAGGAGGAAACCAGAGCACCCAGGAGGAAACCAACACAGACATGGGGAGAATGTGCAAACTCCATGCAGCCATTTCCCCAACGCAGCAATTGAACCCAGGTCCTTGGTGCTGTGAGGCAGCAGTGCTAGCCACTGTGCCATTGTACTGCCATAAAGATTAAGCTTAAAATTCTTGCTAAAGTCTCCTTTCACAATTGCTTCAAATAAAAAGGGGCACAGTACCATGGACCTGAGTTCAATTCCAGCCTCAGGTGACTGTCTGTGTGGAGTTAGCACATCCGCCCTTTGTCTGTGTGGGTTTCCTCTGGGTGCTCTGGTTTCCTCCCACAAGTCCAAAAATGTGCAGGTTAGGTGGATTGACCATGCTAAATTGCCTGTAGTTTCCGGGGACGTGAAGATTAGGTGAATTAGCCATAGCGGTTGCAGGGATAGGGTGGTGGGGGGGGGGGGGGGGGAGGGGAGGGGGTGCGGGGGTGGGTGGTGAGTCTGGGTGGGACGTTCCACACTGAGTTGGTGTGGACCTTTTGGGCCGAATGACCTGTTTCCACACTGTTTAAAAAAAAAAGCTCATCCCTAATCTCACAGGGTCAAAAGGAACAGAGACGTAATGTGGCCCTGCTACTTGTACCCACATCCTGAGGACAAACTTTTCAGGTAAGATCGATTGTATATAAGAATATATAAAATAGGAGCAGGATCAGGCCATTCAGCCCCTCAAGCCTGCTCTGCCATTCAACAAGATCATGGCTGATCTGGTCTAGGCCACCTTTGAACAATATTCGATGGTAATGTGATGACCTTTATCTTTTCATCATACTTGAGGCGTGTGTGTGTGGTGTGGGGATGTGTGTGTGTGAGCATGCATGATCCAAGACCATGAAAGACCAGGTGACTGTCCAGTCAGGATGGTGTGCAACTTGGAAGAGGTACTTGCAGATGATGAAGATGTTCCTATGCACTGACTGCCTTCCTCCTACCAGTTGGAGAGGTTGTGGGGTTGGGACGTGCTATTGAGGAAGGCTTTATGTCCAAGGAAACTTCTAATGCACACTCCACGACAGGCTTGAATTCATCATTGCATAGTGCTTGGAAGATTCAGTCTGTTACATTAGAAATTAAAGCCCTGGGATAAGTATCACTAATTTATAGTCCATCATGACATATGACCATAGACACCTTCACTATGTACAGTCTGACTGTTAAACCTCATTGTTGAATTACACCCAGGTATATTTCTACTTCGACCTCTTGTGGCACATTGGGTAGCCTCCTTGCCTGTAAACCAGGAACCATAGGTTCAAGTCCCAGTGCAGGGTTTGATGCCTGACAAAGGTTTGCTCATAATGTACTAAATAGGCTGAATATAAACTTGTAAATCCTCCTGACATGTGCCATTGGGAAACGGTAAGTGTGGGATGGATTCCTGTTCGGCTGTGTGATGCAAATAGACATGGAGCCTCTACATTACTGTCCACAGTCCCAGGCTACAACATGCATGTAAAACTGCATGTTGCCACAATAACTTGGATTTTTGACTGGATCGGGAGAGTCAGTTGGCATGGATCAGATTGGTTCCAACAGCATGGAAGTTGATCCCTGCTCCAGCTGAGTTGGATTTGGGGACCTACCTCCTGCTCTGTCTGTGGATAGAGGCCATGGCATCGTGGATCAGACCTGCAGAGAATTCAAGGAGAAGATATTTTCACTTACTGCCCCCATCACTGTGCAGATGGCATGCTCATGACAGCCTCCATTGACCCCGTCTGCACACGGGTCTTTTGGAATACACGTATAGCCATCTCCAGAGTATTCCTTCTCACATCTGCATTGGACTTTCACTCCATTTTGAGAGCACTTGGCAAAATCTGAACAGCCGCCATTATCCTGGGCACACTGATCAACAACTGCATTATAAAACAAGAGACATATTGAGTCAAAGTGTGACAGTGTCCATTTTATATACAGCATTAATTGATATTGCAGCACAGTATTACCCTGGTGAGCTAATTGGATTATATTTGTGCTGTCACACATTCAAAAAACAACCCAGCAGTGACAGAGACTGACTGAATGTGGCAAATAGAGAACTGTTATCCTGGCAGACAAGGAAAAATTCACTGGAGAGATGTTCTAGCTCAGTGTCAAATACCCAGCAGCAGCTAAATAGGCTGTTAGCAAATTCCATATCAGTTGGGAAGATTGAAAACAGGACATATATACCTTTCCTTTCTATTGAGAGAATTCACTGACCCCTCAGTCTTATTCCTCTCACTCCACATCCAGTGTCATAGCTGCTCCCCATGTAGTCAGAAAATCATTTTTCTACCACTTTAAATAAAAAACAGGAGAAACTCAGCAGGTCTGGTAGCAGCTGTGGAGCGAGAAACAGAGTTTATGGTTTGAATCCAAGATAACTCTTCTTTGGACTAGTCCTTGAGTTATAAACAGGAGTCACACTGGACTTGAAATATGAATTCTGTTCCAGTTTCCACAGATAATGCCAGACTTGCTGAGCCTCTCCGGCAATTTCTGTTTTTATTTCCGATCTCCAGCACCCGAGGTACTTTTTATTTATAATAGCTACCACCTACTTCCCTTAGCTTTGAATAAGCAGACATTAACACAGACCAGAACTTTATAGTTCTCCATACCGATGATGTAAGGGAATAAATTTGATCACCACGCCATTGTAGCTGCCTTCCCGCTGCCCCTTGCCTCTGCTGCAATGTTACATGTGGTAGGGAGGTAGCAGCTTAAATTGATTGAGATGTTCAAGTGGCCAATTAGGGCCCCACTAGATCCTCCTTTTATTTCCTCTGGGATTTGTTGGGGGAGGCCATCACCAAGTCTCCAGCAGCCTTGTAAATGAAACCTGGTGGGGGCTGGTAGCTGGGCTAGGACTGTATCTCCTTTCTGGGCCTACTCATGTCCGCATGCCCTGTCCACTCCAGTCCTTAAGCAATCCTGCCTCACAGGGGCCTATCACCCTGGATTTAGTATAAACCTAAGCTGCATCCCAGCCCACTTCCTTCGTTGACTGTGCAGTTTCAGCAGTGGTCACCACATCTGGTGGCATCCTGGGGACAGAGAATTACCAACCACTTGTTGGGAAGATGGTGGTTGCTGTGTTAATATTACTGGCCAAGTAATCCAGCGCACCAGGTTAATCTGCTGGGGACGTGGGTTCCAAACGTGCCATGGCAGATGATGAAATTTGAATTCAATTGAAAAAAAAGTGTAGAATTTAAGAACAAAACTAGTCTAATGGTGACCTTATGCCAATTGTTGTCAAAATCCATCTAGTTCATTTATGGAAGGGAATCTACCATCCCTACACATGACTCCAGACTCACAGCAATGTGGTTGGCTCTTAACTGTCTTCTGTAATGTCCTAAAGAGCCAATCAATTCATCAGCAACAAATGCTGGCCTTGTTAACAACACCCACATCCCACACAGGGATACATAGCAGCGGCACAGTGGTTCAGCACTTAGCACTGCTACCTCACAGTGCCAGGGACTCCGGTTCAATTCCACCCTGGGGTGACTGTCTGTGTGGAGTTTGTATGTTCTCCCTGTGTCTGCGTGGGTATGCTCTGGTTGCTCCAGTTTCCTCCCACAGTCTAAAGATGTGCAGATTAGGTGGATTGACCATGGGAAATTGTCTGTAGTGTTCAGGGTAGGCCAGGATAAACGTGGGGTTAAGGGATATGGTAGGGGGCTGGATCTGAGTAGGATGCTCTTTGGAGGGTTGATGGGCCAGTGGCCTCCTTCCACACTTTAGGGGTCTTATGAAAGGAAGAGAAGATTGGTCAGCTGCTTTCAGTGGTTGTGCAGGGGGAGAGGATCTGTTATCATAGAATCCCCACAGTGAGGAAACAGGCCCTTCAGCCCAGCAAGTCCGCACTATCCTCAGAGCACCCAACCAAACCCATCCCCCTATAACCCACCTAATGTACAAATCCCTGAACACTATGGGCAATTTAGCACCTTTGGACTGTGGGAGGAAACCGGAGCACCCGGAGGAAACCCACGTAGACACAGGGAGAATGTGTAAACTCCACACAGACACTCGCCTGAGGGTGGAACTGAACCCAGGTCCCTGGTGCTGTGAGGCTGCAGCGCTAACCACTGAGCCACCGTGCCACCCCTGTTATAAGCTGCTAAAATAAATGGCTGTGTGCTAAGCTGGCCAATCAGATATGGGTATGCCCTGACTTTGACTCTGAGGGAATGGGGTCAAAGAAGGCCAAAGATAGCTGGTAATGGATGTTGAGAATTAGACAAGAAACACTGGCCTTTCCAGCAATCCCACAATCAAACAAAACATTGGGTTAAACACTTCATAAAATGTGGGAAGACCAAAGACAACAAATATCATTTGCAATGATATTTTAGAATAAGTTCTAAGTACTTTTATGCTGATAGTCAAGCCTATAGAATAACATCCGTATTAGAACTGTGCCTCCACCATCTATACGCACATTGGAAATTTCCAAAATTGGACCTGATTGACCTTTCCTAATCCTTCTATTCTTCCCCAGTATTCCAGCAGATGTACATGATGTGATAGTTATTCAACAAGAACTTCATGGGTTGAGATAAAACTTGGCTAGTCCAGTGATTTCAGTCCTCACTAATGTCCTGTATACTGATCAGTTATGCAGTATAAAAACAGGGTAAGTAGGGAATGGAATATAAAAAATAATACGGACGTCTAGTCAACCAATACCAGGATACTGTGAACAGTTCTGGGCCCCTTATCTAAGGAAAAATATTCTGGCATTGGAGGCAGTCCAGAGGAGGTTCACTAGGCTGATCCTGGGTATGGAGGGGTTTCCTTATGGAGAAAGGTTGAGTAGGTTGAGCCTGTAATCATTGGAGTCTAGGACCTTATTGAAACACATAATGTGGGACTTAGAGAACTTGACAAAGTAGATGCAGCGAGGCTGTTTCCCACTGTAGGACAGTCTCGGACTAGAGGGCATAATCTTAGAATAAAGAAGTCCATATCTAAGACAGAGATGAGGGGGAATATCTTCTCTCAGCAGAAAGTGAATCTGTGGAATTCTTTACCGCAGAAGGCTGTCGAGGCTGGGTGATTAATTATATTCCAGGCTGATACAGACAGAGTTTTATTCAGTAAGGGAATCAAGGATTATGGGGAACAGGCAGGAAAATGGAGTTGACGGTTATCACATCAGCCCTAATCTCATTGTACAGCAGAGCAAACTTGATGGGCTTAATGACCTACATCTGCTCTTATGTCTTGCAGTCTTACTTATTCAAAAATACAGTAATATTGAAAGAGTTGTGTGGTGCTGTGTGAAGTGTCCCTATTTCTGGGCCAGTAGACCAGTGTAAAAATTCCATCTTGGGATGCGATGGCCTCAGAAATATGTTTCATATCATGTCCAAACAGGTTGAGGAAAATGTCATAGATTAATATTTCCCCGTTAACAAGGCAATCTTGCAGGAGATCACTTTAATCATGTTTATATATTTTGATATTAAGCTAATTTTCAATTTTTTTTTTTGCTGGAATCTGAATGAATCAAATCATATTTAATGAACTGAGCTCTGCCTGAAGAGCTGACTGGAAACTCTCGGATTATGGAGGTGAAATGGTGGGGAGCTCAGCATCTATATGTAATCCATTCAGGGATAGTAATCCATAGCCTGCTCAATGTCAGCCCATGAAATCCAGTCAACGCGATATTTAGTAGCTACATGAGGACTGACTGAACTTTGTTCCTCCATGTTGGGTTAACCCTGAATCAGAAATCTCAGAACTTGTTATTGTCATGAGCTTGGGGCGAGTCTGAATGGGATATGGATTCAAACTTTACGTGTGGCCTGTAGGAATGATTTGACCATCACTAGGGTAAAAAAAATAGTTCTAATTGATGGTATGAGAGGGTATTGGGTTTAGGGGTGACCTGTACCTGAACACAATAAGTGGCCCATGCCTGCTTACAAGATGGCAGACAGAAACTAAGCAAAACTAAGCAGCCTGCTCACACAGTGAAATACAATGGTAACTTTGAACACAACTGCTGGAAGGTCAGTAAAAGAACACTGTATGTTCCCATCCAAGACAATTCTGATAAAAGAAAGCCTTAGGACAAATAATTGACCAATTCCAGCTTTATTAATGACAGGGTGATTGTGCCAGTAAATGAGTAACGTTAGGTGCTAGATTAGGTCTTCAAGCAGCTCCAAGGATAACAGCTAAAGTTATATCGTAGTTAATAGTTGCCTCCTTGAAGCTACCAGCAGTATTAAATAGTTTCTAGCTAGAAATGCTCTAATCATAGAAATTGGCTTCAATACATAACCAGGATATAATACAAGCCTTAAAAAAGCCATTTAAGTTTAGATGTAAAGATTAACTAGCTTTAGGAGACGCCCTCTCTTATGCCCTCAACAAGATAGATTGCTCAAAACCCATGAATTACAAAATGCTAACAGTAGAAGTATTTGTATAACGTCACACTTATAATTAACTTTATAACAGAAGTTAACCTTATAGCAATTAGTTAAAACTAACTGACTTGTTATTTTTACATTATGTAATTGGGACAGTGGGAAAATAAAAGGAGTAACTGAATGTGATAAAAATCAGCACCAAAATACAATGGGTAATAGAATTTGAGCTGTCCTCACAGATAAACAAGCCTGAGAAAGACCCGAAGGAGTATAGCCATTAAACATTTGGAATGCGAATGAATAGGCTGCATAGGAAGATCCCAAGGCTTAGAGATTACAATGTCTAGCTAATACCATAAGATCGTGGGAACCTGGGGCTGTCCATGGAAGTGCCCATCAATGATTAAGTGTCCCACAGGATTGGGTGTTTGAATTAGGGGGAAGGACAGTGACTACATTGTATTTGATTACTGTAACAAAAAATGTATAAAAATGCTGTATTTCTTTGTAAAAGCAGAGGGTGTGTTATTGATTTATCCTCTGAAGCCAGATTTGGGGAAGATCCTTTGGCCCTCTCCCTGTAAAAATCGGTTTCTGCTTGAATAAAGATAATCCACTTGACCGAATCCTGCCTGCCTCCTGAGTCTTTGTCCCAGGTTGGAAAAACGCTCCTACATTGGGTTATGCAGGTATGTGAAGCTCAGTCACAGATCAGCCGTGATCTCATTGAAACAATAATTAGGTTCTCAGGGCTAAATCCACCCTTTTCGTATGTTCCCTCCTATGTTAGCTGCTTTCTTAGACCTTTTTAAAACAGTTCACTTGTGACACTTCACACATGCATATCTCTGTTAGAAATGCAAAAAAAGAGCAAGTTAACGCACCGTCGCATGTCCTTCCATCACCCTCATAGTACAGTTTACACTCGCATGTATTGTTGATCTTGCAGATTGCATCTTTAGAGCAAGGAGGTGAACATACTGGTTTCATGGCTGCCCAACAAATGAAGAAAACCATTTTAATAACATGACAATACCACACTGCTAATTAGCCATGGAGATTTGGTATGGCTCTCTGTAATTCTGGCTGGAAATCTGTGGCATCTTAGAGAATCCCATGCAAAAGGCCATCTTTGGTCATTGACGTAGTCTTTGCAAGAGTTCTGCCAATTTGCAGTGGGAGACAAGGGAGTCAATTGGAAAGAATGAAAGGGAGAAAATAGATGAGAAGGACAAGTGAGACAGACTATTGAATAAAAACAGCAAAAATAACAATCCTTACACAGTGTGACTGACATGAGGTGAAATGATGTCACTGCTACAGTTAAGATAAAATCAATTAGAGTCATAGAGTTACACAGCACAGAAACAGACCCTTTGGTTCAACTTGTCTGCGATGACCAGATATCCTAAATTGATCTCGTCCCATTTGCCAGCATTTTGCCCATATCCCTCTAAACCCTTTCTATTCATGTACCCATCCAGATGCCTTTTAAATGTTGTAATTGTACCAGCCTCCACCACTTCCTCTGGCAGCTTAATCCATACACGCACCACCCTCTGTGTTAAAAAGTTGCCCCTTCAATGCCTTTTAAATCTTTCTCCTCTCACCTTAAACCTATGCCCTCTAATTTGGGACTGCCTTACCCTGGTACAGTTCAACTTGGGGTTGCTGGTATGTGGCCACATCACTGCACGAGTAATCAAGACTCATGCTCTGGGGCCATGGGTTCAAATCACACCACAGCAAATGGTGAAATTTAAATCTGGAATTGAAAACTAATCTCAGTTAAGGTAACCAAGAAACTAATCATCAAACATTATTTAAAAATCCATTTAATTCCCTCTTTGGAAGGAAATGCAATTGGAATAAAAAGTGATCTTATAACCACTGTTTGTTGTAAAAACCCATTTGGTTCATTCATGTTCTTTATGGAGGGAAACTTGGCCTATATGTGACTCGAGATCCATAGCAATGTGGTTGACTCCTAACTGCCAATGTCCAATCAGAGATGGACAATAAATGATGTCCTAACTCATGTCACCAATGAATAAAACTTGGGAAATGTATTCTGGTTTGGTTTACATGTGAGTCGGAGACACAGCATTGTGGTTGTCTCTCAGCTACGCTCTGAAATGTCAAGGCACTCAGCACAAGGACAATTAGGAATGGATGACAAATGGTAGGACCACATCCCATCGAAGAATAAATAAAGATAACTGCTTCCAGTTAAACTGTTGGGAGAACTGCTAGTTGGTTGGTGAGTTCCTAATTTCAATTTTTCATTTCAAAGGTTTATTTAACCAAAAGTAAACTTGCATCATGGCCAAGGGGCCAATTGAGGCAAGCTTTACAAACAAACATTTCAAGCAGAATAAATAGGAGTAAAGAACAGAGTAGAATAACAAACTGATATCAGATTAAAGCTTGCATGCTATAAAGATTCAAAGTCTTACAGTCGTTAGAGTTTGTCCATTACATGAGTGAGGTAAGGCATAGAGAGGAACTTCATTCTTTTGCACGATCAAGACCAGCTTGAAAATAGGCAGTGAAATATTTTCCAGTGAAAAGCAAATTCAGTTCAGGCACGTGCACAATGCCGGTGTGGAGAATTTTTCCACCACGATTCAATTGGCAGCACCCTCAGCTCTGGCTCACAAGGGCGTTCAAGACCAAAGACAAAACTCTAGACTAAAACTCCCAGAGCAGTAATGAGGGAGTACTGCATTGTTGAGGTGCTGTCCTTCAGATGAGAGATAAACCGAGGCCTGGTCTGCCCTCTAAAAGTGGACTATATCAAAGGAGAACTGGGGAATTACAATTTAACAAAGAGCTGGTGGTGTGCAGATTTACTTACAATCTGCACTGCAGCTCACTCACTATGCCATACCTAGTTGTGTTTCACAGCGATCTCCAGTCCATCCTTCATTGCAGAAACATATTCCTTGGCCATTGAATCCATCATCACAGACTCCATTTTCAGTGCAATCACAGGCTGCAAGAACATTTCGGTAGAATGACAGATAATATAATTGACACACAAGTTTCCTAAGGGGCTTGACAGGGGAGGGCTCTGACTGACATTCACTGAGAAAGTTGTGAACTTTTGGAATTCGCCAATTGGTAGAGCAGTGAATGCTCAGTCATTAAGTACACAGAGGATAAAAATCAATAGAGGTTCGGGTACTAAAAGATTTGGGGACAGGGTGTGAAGGAGTTAGTTAGAAGATCAGGCATGTGATTGAATGCAGAGCAGTCTCAAAGGGTCGATTCCTGTTCTTATTTGTTATGGTTGTATGTGTGTTGGATTAGAATTGTCCAATATGGATTCTCCAGCTTAAAAATGTTTGATCACAGTTCCAGTGGTTATGATACAATTGGAGGTAAATTAAACCCCACCCTCACCCAACCACGTAGACTCATACTCATACAGTTGTACAGCATAGAAAAAGATCCTTCAGCCCAAATTGTCTATGCTGACCAGATATCCTAGTCCCATTTGCCAGCATTTGGCCCAAATCCCTCTAAACCCTTCCTATTCATATACCCATCTAAATGCCCTTTAAATGTTGTAATTGTACCAGCCTCCACTTCCTCTGGCAGCTTATTCCATACACACACCACCTTCTCTGTGAAAAGGTTGCCCCTTAGGCCCCTTTTAAATCTTTCCACTCTCACTTTAAACCTACGCCTTCTAGCTTTGGAATCCACCACCCCAGGGAAAATACCTTGGCTATTTACCCTATTCATACCCCTCATGATTTTATAAACCTCGACAAGGTCACCCCTCAGCCTCCGATACTCCAGGGAAAATAGCCCCAGCCTATTCAGCCTCTCCCTGTAGCTCAACCCCTCCAATCCTGGCAATATCCTTGTAAATTTTGTCTGAACCCTTCCAAGTTTCACGATATCCTTCCTATAGCAGGGAGACCAGAATTGCATGCAGTATTCTAAAAGTGGCCTAACCAAGAAACTCACATGTTTGGTTCAAGGACAAGTTTTATTCCCTGTATAACTGACTTCAAAGGAGTAAAACCAGTATTGCACCCAATCCCATCCTTACCCAAGGAACGTTTGGGTTAAAACCGTTCTCATACTTTAAAGTTGTAGAAACACTCAACTTTTCAACTTTTGCTTCAATGTTCCTTTTCGCCTGCTCCAATCTAATGCATGAAGTGAAACACTGGTCCCCATCCAATAACCTCATAACCAACACTTGAAACTGTATGAATGGATAGTATTGTATCACTCTGCACCTCTTCAATTAGTGTCTTTAAAGGTTAAATGATGAGGACAGTTTAAGCATAATCTTGGCTTATGTTCTGTTGAATTTAGAGGTCTGAGCAGTACTCCTGTTCAAATGTTGAAAAGGATTTGATAACATCGATGCAGAGTAGCTATTTCCTACGATGCATCAATCTGGAATAATTTTTTGAATTAAAGTCAGGCCATTTAAGAATGATGTTAGGAAGCTAAAAATTACATCAATCAAGAACTCAGAGACCAAAAAGCTGCAGATGCTGCAAGGCACTGAATTTGTCAAGTCAGAAATTGGTAGATTTGTCAACATCTGTGACGAAAAAATTAGAGTTACCATCTTGGGTCTGGTGACTCTTCCTCAGAACTGGATCTGAAATGTTAATTCTGATTTTTGTTCACAGATGCTGCCAGACCTGCTGAGCATTTCCAGCAACCTCTGTTTTTGTTCCTGATTTACGACATCTGCAGTTTTTTTCGGTTTTTACTGGTAGATTTGTGTTGTCCAAGAGATATGGAGCAAATGTGGAGAAAAATGGAAATGGAAGCAGGGATCTGCCAGGATAAGATTAAATGGCAAAACAGGCTCAAGGGTTTGAACGTGCTCCAGTTTCTAAGAAAACTGTGGGTTGTGTGTGCACAGGACTTGAACATTAGTGTGATGAAAGTGTCAGGGCATATGAGTGCATGTGTGCACGAAGCTATCAAGTTGCATACTCTTGAAATTGTGACATAGATTTACTTGTATTAATACAACAGCAAAACTTTGGGTCCCAGTTGTAGGTATGGTGGCAAAAAGAGGCAAAGGGCAAATTTAAGAATGATAGAAACTGCATCTATATTGGCACTGCAGGATACAGTTAAACTGTGAACACATTGCTTGAAACCAGCAAAGTCCACTTGGTCTCACACCATTTGCTATGAATTACATTTCCATAGAGATGGGTGACCTACAGCAGTCTAATTACCCTTTAAAACTCTATTTATTGTAGTACCACATGATTGCTTTACCCTTGCTTTCTTTCTCTCTTTTGAAGACTTGAAGGTAAAATCTGAAGGTCCATTGTTACAAAGCCTCACTTTCTTTCTTTGTTGTGATGGCTGGGGCTAACAGCCAGGTTTTATGATTTATTGCTTGTGTCGATTTGAGAAGCACTGAACTTTGCACATTATTTACAGCAGCTTCCCAAACCTGATCCTGGTGGGACCCCATTTCGATGTCTCAGACTTGGCGTGACCCCAGCGTGAAATACTGGGGTGCTTTGTGCATTTTTGAGTGGTGTGTGGCTTCCAGTACTGATTCAATGTAATATACTTTTGTTCTACACAAGCCTTCTCTATCTCTTTTCATCTAACTCCAACCATAGCCTTCTATTTAATGCTCCTCCATGTTTGTTTTCTAGCTTCAAATTAAGTCCATCTATCCAATTCACCTCGGCTACTCTTCATGGCTGTGAGCAGTAAAAAAAGCTTCTCCTGAAATCCCTATTGGATTTACTTATGATTACCTTACATTTATGAACACATTGGAGAGGGTGCAGAATGGAATTATGGGAGTGGCACCACCAATAATTGGACAAATTGGTAAAGCTGTGACAGTTCTCCAAAGAGGAAGATGTCAAGAAGAGATTTGGTTGAGACGTTCAAAACAATGAGGCGTCCAGACAGATAGATTAGGGAGGAACTACTTACATTGGTGAAGAATCAGCAGGCACCAATTTTAAAAGTGGCAAAAGAACCAACGGTGACATGAGGAAAAACTGATCTTATGCAGCGAGTGGTTAGGATCTGGAATGCACTGCCTGGGAGTCTGGTGGATGCAGATTAAATCATGATTTGCAAAAGGGAGTCAAAATCTGAAGTGAAAATATTTACAGGTCAATGATGAAAAGGAGGTGCAATGAGGCGAACTGATATGTTCTCACAGAGACGTGTTCACAATGTGACAAATGGCCTCCTTTTGTGCTTTCACCATTCTGTGGTTTTATGGCACCTTGGTTTTGGTCTTGCCTGAAAGTAGAAATGTCTTCTCTACAACTGTCTTCGCAAAACAATAGCAGAATGTGATAATTAAGTGACAACTACTGTACATTACGAGGTAGGTATAAGAACTAGAATAAATTTTGTATGCACGAGGCAGATGTGATGAAACTGTACCTTGGTTTCTGTTGAACATCCTCTTACCTGTACATTCTGATCCCCAATGTCCAGGCAAGCAGAGTTCACAAGCTGTACCATTGAAGCCAGCTGAGCAGGAGCAGTTACCAGTTCCTGTGTATTGATCGTCACAGACACCGTGGGAGTTGCAGGGGGTTTCAGGACCTCCTGGGCAGGCTGAAACAAAACAGCAATCTTTTACAACCTTAGCATCAACCGCAATCATTAAAATGATAACTTAGAGATAGCAAGAACTACCGATCATGAAGGGTCCAGGCTCGAAACGTCGACTCTCCTGCTCCTCTGGTGCTGCCTGACCTGCTGTGTTCTTCCAGCTCCACACACAATTATAACTTACATGTTTTCTGAAATTATTCTCCAGTATTGCCTAAACAAAGTATTGGATCTGGTATTACAGAGTCACAGTGTCATACAGCATAAAGCAGACCCTTCGGTCCAAATCATCCATGCCGACCAGATATCCTCAACTGATCTACTCCTATTTATCAGCATTTGGCCCATATCCCTCTGAACCCTTCCTAATCATGTACCCATCCAGATGCCTTTATGATGCTGTAATTGTACCAGCCTCCACCACTTCCTCTGATAGCTCATTCCATACATGCACCACCTTCTACGTGAAAGAGTTGCCCCTTAGGTCCCTTTTAAATCTTTCTCCTCTCACCTTAAACCTATGCCCTCTAGGTTCCCTATCTTGGGGAAAAGACCTTGACTATTCACCCTATCCATGCCCATCATGCTTTTATAAACCTCTATATGGTGATCCCTCAGTCTCTGACTCTTCAGGGAAGACTTGATATTTCTGAAAGAAGAGTCATGCTATTGAAGTATTTTGTCTTGCACGCATCAGGACAGAATCATAAGAATACCAAAAACCAATGGGAATAACCATTTACATAGCATGAGAAGAAGATGCTGAATGGCGTGTAAGTTAGACTCTGACTGGTAGATTGTTGTTATAGAGAGTGCACCAGAGAACTGTTACATGCCAAGTTTTTCTTTAAATGCAAGTAGACACTTGACTTTGATTGATTAAAGCATTGCCAAAGGGATTGGTCCCGTGAATGGCTGTCCACCAAAATTAAAAAGGTGAAATATGCAGGCAAGTTCTTTCTGTTTGCAAAGGACAAGGCTTTGCACTTGAATATATATATACTTCCAGATACATTCCCAATACTCAAATTGGTCAAATAAAAATGTTTGTGTATATATTTATTTGCCACATTTTAGTAAGACACAGAGAATGGGAATCCTGTATGACTGGCTTGCATTCTGTTGAAAATGAGGATGATGATCTGATCAAGCGATTTGAAATGTTTAAAGGATTCAATAAGGCAGATATGGAGATGGAGTTGGAATTCAGGAATGAGAGACTTGTTCTCAAAATTAGTGCTATGCAATTTAAAAGGGAAATTTGGCAGCACCATAATAGTTGTGATGGAAACCTGGAACTTTGTCATCCAAAGGATAGCGCGGTTGTGAAAGGTGCTGTATCAATACAAGTTTGTTTTTTTCTTTCATGCGTACTTGCTTTGTTTCTTCACTAACCGTATATCTTATAGTTTTTGGTCTGAATCCTGAGAGGCCATTCAGGGTCTCAGTTTGATGTCCCACGAGAGGTGTTGGTGTGATGGTAACATCACTGCCCTAGTAATTCAGGGACGCCACGCTATTGGGAACAAAAGCAGAAATTGTTGGAAAAGCTCAGCAGGTCTAGCAGTATCTGTGGCGAGAAATCAGAGTTAACGTTTTGGGTTGAGTGACCCTTCTTCATAAGTGAGAACGCAGGCTGTTAGTCTCTAGACACAGTTCAAATCACATCAAAGCAGCTGGAGGGGAGTTTAAATGCATTAAATAAAATCTGGATTGAAGGCTTGCCTTACTAATAGTGATCAGGAAGCCATTTTTTTATTGTTGTGAAAAACCCATCTGGTTCACAAAGTCCTTCGGGGAAGGAAATCTGCTGTAATTAGACCGTATGGGTGACACGTAACTCCAGACCCACAGCAATGTAATTTGACTCTAAACTGCCCTCTGAAATGGCTAAGCAAGCCAATAAGGGCAGTTAATAATGGGCAGCAAATGATGGCCTTGCCAACAGTGTCAATATCCCATAAAAATATAAACCCGTTATGCGGGAATTGTGTGAAACTAGAGTATTGTATACAGTTCTGGAATCCACATTACAGAAAGGATATGATAACACTGGAGAGGGTGCAGAGGAGATTTACCAGGGCAGCATAGTGCCAGGGACTTGGGTTTGATTCCACCCTTGGGTAACTGTGCAGAGTTTGCACATTCTCTCCGTATCTGCATGGGTTTCCTCTGGGGGCTCCGGTTTCCTTTCACAGTCCAAAGATGTGTAGGCTAGGTGCATTGGCCATGGGAAATGCAGGGTTACAGGGATAGAGTAGGGGGTCGGTCTGGGTGGCTGATCTTCAGAGGATCGGTATGGACTTGATGGGCCAAATGGCCTGCTTCCACACGGCAGAGAATCTGATTTTATTCTAAGATGTTGCCTGGCCTATAGAGTTTCAGTTATGAAGAGAGATGAAAGGAGACTGAGGGGGGATACATTTGGGATGTATAAAATTATGAGGGGCACAGACGGGAAGGAACTTTTCCCGTTGATGGAGGGATCAATGACTGGGGGTATAGATTTAAGGTAAGGGTCAGAAGATTTAGAGGATATGTGAGGAAAAACATTTTAACCCGGGGGTAGTGGGAACTCACTGCCTAAAGGGGTGGTAGAAGCAGAAATCCTCATAACATTAAAGAAGTATTTCGATGTGCACAGGACATACCAGGATATGTGCCAAGTGCTGGAAAATGGGATTAGAAAAGTTAGATGGCTGTTTTTGACTGGTGCAGACTTAATGGGCCGAAGGGCCTTTTCTATGCTGTGTGGAAGTGACTAAAGCAATACATTATGCCACCCTGCGCAAAGCTTCACACAAAATTGGATCTTGCAAGACATTAGTTTGTGACGACACCATGCTGAGATTGGAATATGCAGTGAGAACTAATGAAGGGATGAAGTGCTTTGAATGCTGATACAGAATGGAAGTGTTGCTTGCTGATTTCATGTCATAAAAAATGGGCCCAATTGCTGATGTTATTTTTGTAAGTTGGTCGTGTGTATTGTCAAAGACATATAGGCCTATAAAAGACCAACATAGGTACATGCGTGCCCATGGCCTCTATTACTGAGAAGGTCAAGAGCAGGATTGTTAAGGGAACATCATTACTGTTGAGATCCCTTTCAAGTGATATGCCATCCCACCTTGGACCTTTATTGTTGTTCATTCATTGTCATTGAGTCAACATTGCAGTTGATAACAGCCATTGCAGGAACACCTTCACCATAAGAACTGCAATGGTTCAAAAAGTAAAGATCTAACATCACCTGCTCAGGGTAACAATGAGTTGCATTTATATAGAGGTCGTAACATTGTTAAAATGTTCCAAAGGTGTTTTAGAGGAGTGATTATTAGACAAGGTCCTGACACTGAGCTACACATGGAGACAAAGAACCAAAATAAGTAGGCTTTTAAAGACCATCTTAAAGAAGGAAAGAAGGATAGAAAGACAGAGACACTTGACAGAAATTGCAGAGTGTAGGGACTCAGCAGCCATCAATGTTTGAGCCATTGGGCCAAATGGTGGGGGGTGGGGATTTGGAGGAGGAGTACGTGAGTACAGGGCTGTCGTTCTGCAGTTATACGAGGGCTGGGAGAAGAAAACACCTGGAGTGTTGCAAGCAGTCTTGGTCTCCGTACCTATGAGAGGATATATTTACCATAGAGGAATGCAGTGGACATTCACTTGGGCTGACATTGAAGTTAGCAGCACTGTACTATGTAGAGAGAATGGTTCGACTGGGCCTGCCTGCATTCACTGGAGTTTAGAAGGATGAGAGGAGATCTGATTGAGAGATATAAAATTCAAACAGGGCTGGATAGACTAGATGCAGGGAGAATGTTTTCCCTGTGGGGAGTCACAGACTCAGGATATGGAGTAGGCGAATCAGGAATGAGATGAGGAAACATTTCTTCACTCAGAGGGTGATCACTCTGTACCACAGGGGTAAGAAGATTGCTGTAATATGATGTAGAGGTAAAGAATTGGCCATGATCTATTTGAATGGCAGAGCAGGCTCAAAGGGCTGAATGGCCTACTCCTGCTGCTAGTTTCTATGTTTCTAAGAAACCAGAATTGGGGGAGTGCAACAATCTAAAAGCATTGATCTGAGGGAAGTTACAGAGATGGGGAAGAAGCAAGGCCACAAGAGGATATGAAAACAAGGGGTGGGCAATAAATGTGCTGTCCTTGTCTACGTCAACCATAACCCAGGAATCAACAGTAGAAATTTGCCGAAGGCAGCACACTATCAAGTTCGGCAGCCCAATTTAAATTCCTCACCCACCTTTACAATTCTTTCCAAAGTAATTACTGCAGCATTTAGGTTTCCAGATCACAAAGGTACATTCATACTGACAACCATCGACATCAGCATGGAAAAAGTTCTGGTAGGTACACTCCTTCTTCTCTGCCTGAGGATCACAAAATAAAGAGTTACTCCACAATGGTATTTCTCAAGCCCTAAATACAATACAGGCCTAACTAGGTTTAAGAAGAAATGATCACAACAATATTATTTTGCCAAGGACAGGTGAATTAGCTAAATACTTTGGATTTCTGAAAGCTGCAAGGGTCATTGAGCAATTTGAATAACATTTTTGGAGTCAGCATTGGCACAATGGGCCAAATGACCTCCTTTCTTTGCTGCAAAATCACTTGGGCCTTGAAAATATGGGTGGTGCAGGTGGGGGACATGCTGCTCTGCACCAATTGATGGGAAAGGAGTCACTTGCACAAGTAGAGCGAGTGACTAAAATCCCTCCTGTATGTTACAAGTAGATTCCAACATAGGGCTGTGCAAACCCTGATTATTTAGATGGGGTTTTTGGAAGGCTCAGAATAGAATGTACATTCTCAACTATCCATTTTATATCCTTCCCCTCTCACCTTAAACCTAGGCCCTCCAATTTTGGACCCTCCTGTCCTGGGGAAAAGACCTTGGCTGTTCACTCTGTCCACTCCTCATTATTTTTATAAACCACAATAAAGGTCATCCCTCAGACTCTGACCCTCTACGGAAAATAGTTCCAGCCAGGGATGTGTAGGTTAGGTGCATTAGCCACAGGGAATGCAGGCTTGCAGGGATAGGGTAAGGGGATGGGTCTGGGTGGGATGTTCTTCAAAGGTTTGGTGTGGACTTGTTGGGCCAAATGGCCTGTTTCCACACTGTAGGGATTCTAAAGATTCATATTCAACCTCTCCCTATAGCTCAATTCCTCCAATCCTGGCAACATCCTTGGTAATCTTTTCTGAACATATTCAAGTTTCACAACATCTTTCCTCTAATAGGGAAACCAGAATTGAATGCAGTATTCAAAAAGTGGCCTAACCAATGTCCTGTACAGCTGCAACATGACCTCCTAACTCCTACATTCAATGCACTGACCAATAAAGGCAAGTGTATCAAATGCCATCTTCACACCCTGTCTACCTGTGACTCCACTTTCAACGAACTCTGTACCTGCACCCCAAGCTCTCTTTGTTTGGCATTTGTACACATTTTTTGGCATTTGCCAAAATTTGGGCACAAGATGCTTCAATATCTAAGGAGTTGCGAATGGTGCTGAACATGTCCAATCATTAGTGAAAATCCCCACTCTGACCTTTTGAAGGTGGCTGATTACACAGTTGAAGATGGTTGGGCCTAAGACACTCCCCTGAGGAATTCTGCAGCAGTTCTGAAGTAATCAGTCTGGTGACTTTTACTATTTGGTTGAGTCAAAGATCAGAGGTTTATTGACTAGCAGAGGCAGACATCTGAAGGATGACAAGTGACAATAATGAGCTGCCTTACCTTTGGTCGGCTTCCAGAAGGACAGGCTGGAGTGTTTAGACAGCTGCCACAGTCTCCCTGCATGAAACACAAACAAGTACCTTGTATTGTAGGCACCCATGGGTGTTGACCCAACAGCCTCATGTCAAAATTTCCCTGAAGTCCAACATTCCCTCTGCAGTAACAGGCAGATATCAACCCCCTCCCACCCACCCCTGTGATTTCCTTTTCCCCAGAATCAATCACTTTAAAAAAGTTGTCAACCTCATGCATATACAAACCAAAATGTCAACTAATGACAGGTCATCGCAACGAGCTCCAATATTTTGAGGGGTCATCAGACAGCCAATGCCGTAAGCCACGCCAGCATCAAACTCCAGGTACCTCTGTGTAATCTTACAATTCCTTCTGTTTAGGTACAATTCACCCTGAGGGCAACAAGCAAAGCACATAATAAATAGATGTGGCAAAACCTGGGAAAGCAATAGCTCATGGATTTCATCAAATGAGGAAGATAGGCTTTTGGTTTTTGTGCATTGACCTTATAGCTGTTAGGTTGATTGAATTAAATGAGGCCCTGGGCTTCCATTCAGGGCATTTTGTGAATAGTGTCCCAGCCTTTGAGCTGAAAGAATAGGGTTCAAGTCTCACCTTAGGAGGTGAAGGGCATGGAAGGGGAGTTCAGGACATGGCCAATCAACCTGCAAATCCTTTGAATACCTCTAAGCAGGTGAGAAGAGTGGGAATGACCCCTAGTCAGCCATATTTAATAGAAATGGAGCCCCATGCCTTCAGGCGAGTAACTTGCTCTGGGAAAAATAATCTGTGGAAACATGAGTCCTTTATGCATCTCTCAATGTGGGAAGTCTTCTGGGTTGGTCTTTCATGTACTTGTCATTTCCATTCGCCATCACCCTATCACCCTGACCACATTAACTGCTTCAATGAAGCCCCTCAACAGGCTGCGTCTTGTGGTTTAGTTGAGTTCTTTACAGTCTCCCAGACTCAACATTCCGTTCAATGATTGCACATCATAACCACATCTCCCATCTTTCAAGTGGCTGGTGGGAGCAAAGAGTCTGATATTCATTAAATCCCTCCTGCCTTCCACCCATCCACAGACCTCCTTCCCTCTTTTTCCTTCTTGTCCTGACCATTACTTCTCAGTCATTTTGGAGTTCTGATTCAAGGTATGAGATATGAAACATTAACTCTCTCTGCATAGGTGCTGACCATTTCCTGTTCATATTTTGTGTTTTCAGCATCCAAAATAGTTTACCTTTCAAATTAGACATGCTAAATGTGTGTGTCATTTTGGCATGTGTGCAAGAGAGTGAGATACAGCAGAAGTAACTGATGGAAAAAGCTGTAACAGGAAAGTGTGATATTTGCAGGAATTGAATGCAACTGCAAACCAGATAATATATTAGTAGAAATCTCCCACAAAGGATCATCAGACCAGCCATGATATCATTGAACAGTGGAGTAGTCCTGATGGGCTTAACGGCATATTTTTGGTCCAACATTTTATGGTTTTGAGATTATTGATTGCCCTTTTAAAGGGGAGATGTTGGCCACTGGATTAGTTATACAGAGCTAATGCTCTGGAGGCTAAGTTCATATTTGACTGTGGCAGCTGGCAGAATTTAAATTCAATCAATAAATCTGAGATACAAAGCTAGTCTTGGTATTGGTGCTATGAAACTACCATCAATTGTCATAAAAACCTGTCTGGTTGATTAACGCCATTTTCACTAATGAAAATCTGCTATCCTTAGTCAATCTGGCCTACATGTGACTCCAGACACACGAGAACGTGGTGGACTCTTAATAGCCTCCTGAAATTACCTAGGAAGGCTCTCAGATCAAGGGCAATTAGGGATGGACAGCAAACACTAGGATTACCAGTGAAGCTCACACACTACGAAAAAAAATGAAGAAGAAAATAATAATCCAAGAAAGTTGGGAGGAGTAGGAGTAGATTATACAGAAAAGGCCCTTCAGCCCATGGAGTGCGTGCCAGTTAGCTATTCTAATTCCATTTTCCAGCACTTGGCTCACAGCCTCGTATGACTTGGCATCACAAGTGTTGATACTCCTTCTTGGAGCTCCACTGTTCAGTGAGGCAAAGTTTATCATTCAACTCCACTTTTGCACCCAATCCCATACCTCAAGATTCATTTAGACACTAGGAATCTATTGATCTTGGTTTCAATAAACTCAATAAGTGAGCTCTCCAGGTAGAGAATTCCAAAGATTCATGAACATTTGAGTGAAAAGATCTCTCCTTATTTCTGTACTGTCCACCCCTTTGCCTGACAACAGCACTCTCCACTGAAAATGTGGCTTCACAAATTCACCTCATAGTTTGACTTGGAAATGTCTTGCATTTACTTTTTAAATGGCTTGAATATATTCAGAAGGGTTATTTTATACTCACTTTATTTCTTTGTCGAGCACATGATATACGGATGTCAGAACCTTGTAGCGTCTTCAATGAGTCGACTTTAGGAAGAGCCGCTGCCAAAATCTGGAGAAACAACACTATGCAATAAATCCTCTAAACGATAATCTCAAAGACAACTAAGGATTGGAAATACTTATTTCAACTTTGCCTCATCCTTATCACAAGATTTTGCAGTTGTTTTGAGGCCAACAGAACACATCCAAAACAGTCACAATCTGGATCTCTCAGCCTCACCGGAGAACCCACAGGAATAAGAACATTTAGCCCTGCAGACTTGATCCAATGTTCAACTATGCTTACATACCTCTCGAATCCCATCACGTCTATCTCTTGGCCCACTGAACAACAGCAAATGTGCGATGAAATGAAAGATTAAATACATCATTCTATAAGTATGATGTAATGATGTATATGATAAATAGAACAGACAGCCCAGAAGCTGACTTTATCAAGCTCCCAAATGACAGAGGATTTAATGAACTCCTAATAACAATTGATTTACAAACTTTAATAGAAAATGCTGGGATGCTGAAGACATTTATATTCTGCAAATTAAAGAGACCTGCATTTTGTAATTTATGATAATTATTTATAGGCTGAAATGATCATTATGTACAATCCTTTTATTATTTTGTATATATTTGTAATGGCAATTAATGTCTATAACTACATCATGATTGTTTTATTTGTATCGTTATCACAACTGGTGCTGTCTGTCTATCTAGATTTTGACTGATCTGCACCTCAATTCATTTACCACCTTTTCCCTGAAGTCCTACATAACTAAATTTTATCACTCTCAGTCTTCAGGGGAAATTTCCAATCGTTCCCCAGTATCCATGGCTTTATGGGGAAACAGTTCCTGATTCCCATTTCCCTTTCTGCTTCACCTCTAAATGGCCAACTGGGAAAACAAAAGTTCTGCAACACTTTGGCAGATCTGGTAGCATCAGGAAAATGCTATGATTTTATTAAGTTCCAAAGAAAAGTCAAAACATGAACTCTATATCTCTCTTCACAGATGCTTTCTGTTTTGATTTCTAATTTTCAGATTGTGTGTTATCATTTGTGATTGCTCTATCAGAGGAAATAATTTTTCTCTACCTAATAATCAGCTACTTTTATATTTTAAATATCTTAACCAAATTGCCTCTCAATTTTTCAAACACAATGGAATCTAATTCAAATTTTTGCAACCTGTCCTTAGAACTGAGTTCTCTATGCTATGGTATCAAAGATTAAACTAATGCCACTCTGTAACTACTTTTGAACATTTTCTATGTTAAAGACAATGTACAAATTCAACATATTATCGTCATAAAATTCGATTTTCACTGCTATTTTAACAGTTGTAAATCCATTTAGGGTAATTTTAACGTAATGTTTTAATTTAGTGTTGTGTAAAATCTTTAGAAACCTAGAGAAAACTTACAATGATTTCACAGAGCTACACATCACTGAGCATAAATAGTACATTATGGGTGGAGTTAAAACAGAGCAGGATACAATACACCAGAACTTTATAGCATCTTAAGGGCAAATGGATATGAAGACACAAAGAAAGTAATCTTTACCTAATATAACTATGATTACCATGTACAGCCGTATTTAGTATTAATACATAGCAAATATTGTCACTTTGAAGTCTAAGCCGGGAGACAGTTGTTGACCTTGCCATCATCTCAACCAGCCTTTCTTGAACCCAAACTCATAGTGTGGCAACAAACTACACAATAAAACAGTCAGGAGCTACTAAAGGAATTTCACATGAATGCGTTCCAAGTTGGTTATCTATGCTTACACGTCAGTAAAATTGAACTGTTTTGAAGTATAGTATATGTGATTTACAAACACTTGCATCCAACATCACCATTTTAAATTATTCAACGTAAACAACATTGCAATTCTAAAATCCGCAGTTAGATCCGTAACAACATACTTTGTAGAATAAAGGCAAACACTTTATGTGTATCACATCACACAATGTTTGAACTCTGTCTGGAGATGAGGAAATTACCTTGGCATCTCTGATTATATGAAATTTAAGGTATTCGATCAGAACTTTTCTGTTGTCCTTATTATATAAGAAGTTCTTTCGAGTTTTTGATAAGGATTTCATGACACTGTCTTTTGGTAAGAACAGGGTGACTGGTCTGTGCATTGGATCGTTAATCATACTCAGTAGATTTGTCTCCTGGAATGATAGAAATAAACAGAATAAACTTCACCGATTAATTACAGCAAGACTTGGCAAAGTGTGATAAAACAATTACACCAAAATAAATCATCACCAGTCAATAACACAGCCAATGAGGCTTGTATTGAGCAGAAACACTAGCATATGGCGATTGGGGCAAATGAAGTTTGGCAGATCTAGAGATTAGAATTAAAACACTGTGCTTTGCTCACTCAGCACATCAGTACGGTAATTGCATCACTGGTAAAGTATCTGTTACAGAAAACACCCGCATTTCATCCCATTGCATTATTGGGCTGGGAATAAGCAATGGATGGACTATCTTTCGCTGAGCCATGTGCTCCAGGTACAGAATTAGACACATTAACCAGCAGTTTCACTATCATAGGAATTTAGAGCACAGAAACATTTGGTCCATTGTACCAATGCTAGCACTTTGAAAGAGCATTTATGTTTAGTTGCAATGAACTAAAATAAACTTATAAGTTCTGACTGTCCTGACCTACATAAGTTATCTCCTCTAATTTCCACATTTCTAGGGAAAAGGTTCAGTCAGCTAGCTGGATGATTGGTTTAAACTGCAGTGATGCCAATTACATGGGTTCAATTCCCCCACTGACTGAAGTTACCATGAAGGGCTCTCCTTCTCAACATCCCCCCTCGCATAAGACATGCTGACCCTCAGGTTAAACCACCACCAGGTGTCTCTCTCTAATGAGAGAGCAGCCTATGTTCTGGTAAGGCTATGGCAGCATTACCTTTCATTTCCACATCCATATGTAGGACATTGTCCCCCATTTACTGCTGCTGTTAATGAAAAACTACTATTTTCCCAGTAATGCTCAAGTATTTAATAAAACCAAAGCATCCACAGCTACAACAACCTTTTCTACTTGCCCGAACTTGAAGTGTTGCGATTAACTGTTCTTTTTTCAATCGTGGGTAAAAGACAGTGCTCAAACCAGGTTCTCAACAAAAAGTAATGATGTGTTCCCAATAAATCACATTTTCCCTTTGACTTTCACCATTATAAGTTTCTGTTCATTCAATGTAATGTTAATTACAATATTAAGATGGATAGTCAAAATCCTTATCACTTTTTCTTTGGAAGGCTACAATCTTTAGATGAACCTACTGCAAATATAATTTTAATAAACATGGCAAATAAATTCCTTTCTTCTTCAATTGCTGGTTTACCAGTACCCACGTGTGTGCGCGTGCTTTTGATCCCCAGTCTTTATTTTGCATCATTATTTTTTAACTTACTTCTTTATTTCTCTATTTCTGTAACTAAGATTTTGTATCCAGGTATTTTGTACCTAAGGTGGCACCGCGCATGGCCACATTGTGCGTGTTTCATTGTACTCTTGTAACCTGTACTTGAGTAGATGTGACAATAAAATCTAAATCTAAATCTATTACTCTAAATGATCATCTGTTCACTTTGCAACATTAGCTACTGTACTCAAGTACAGCCTTTGTCTGAAAAATCTAACCTACATCAACTGAGCTAACTGCACCTTTATCAAACGCTTCCACTCAGTTGATGTACCTCCTAAGTAATGGACAACTGGATTAGAATTCAATTTCAGATAACATTGCATGCACTGGCACACAGTAACAATATTCAAAAGTGTGTATGTCTAATAATCACTTGAAATGAGGTTGATACAGGCTTATGACAAGCATGTGCAAGCAGGGAGGCTGTTGAGCTGCAGCTAAAACACAGATTTTGGAAGTAACCAAATAGCAGATTTATATAAAGGCAGGTGAATGTATGGAGGAGCAATTCTCTTTATTCAGAATCTTCAGAGAAACCCAGAGGTGCTGAATACAAGGGACAAATTTAACATGCACCACTTTAAAAAAATATATTTATTCTTTCATGGAGTGTGGACTGTTCCTGGTAAGGCCAACATTTGTTTGGAAGGCAGTTAAGAGTCAATCACATTACTGTGTGTCTGGGGTCACATGTAGAATGGCAGATTTCTTTCCCTAAAGGGGAACTAGATGAGTTTTGCTACAATTGATGATAATTTCTCAAACTACTGAATAGTGATACTATATTTCCAACCAGTGCTTTTTTTTTGGATAAACTTTGATTTAGCTGTCACTGTGATGAAATAAGTCCACAGAGGCCAGTATCCGGTCACCAAGTCACCCTTTGTTTACATGTGGAGAGTCTTTGACGCTGATCCATCTCCCTCAGAGCCAGCTCTCAGAATGAACAGAACCTCTGACACTCCTTTAATGTCTGTCAGCCAGGGCTCCCTGATTGGACCAGGTTAACAGCCCCAGTTAGGGAACTCATATTCTGAGGTCCTCCGGTTGACTTTGTTACAATCACTACATTTGAATTTACCCCTTGTGCGCAGAGCCTTGTGTTGGGTCTAGAGGTCAATGGTCCAGTGACATTATCACAACACCATCGCCTCACCCCCCCCCCCCCCCCCCGCCTATTGATACACACCATGCCATATTTTTAGAGTGGTACACTGGCACTTTATGGCATGAGCCCAGTGTACTTCAGTGTACCCAGTGTACTTGATACAATCTGGAACATATTGCTTGATAAAGTGATGGCAGGAGATTCACTTGGGGATACAGGAGGGAATTTGCTAAAGGGAATTAGACAAAGACTTTCGGAGAAAATGTTTGTAGCGTGATGGAAAAAGCGTAGGGCTAATTGGATGTCTCTATCACAGAGTTAACCGAGCCATGATGGGCCAAATGGCCTCCATCTGTGATGCCTGATTCTGTACTGTCATGCCTTCCAAAACAGCAAGCAATGTTGGAACAGTCATGCTAAAGAAATGTTGCTTACCTCTAATAGATTGCTAAAGATGGAATATCCGTTCTGTGCTGCCAGAGATGTGAGGTTCAGCTGAAGAGAGCAAAAAGTTTGATAATATTAGAAATTAAGATTTAAGAGTAAATCAGAACAGTTCCAGAGTTGACTGAGAGGAGCTGATAATCATTGGACTTTGTATTTAAGAGCTAGGTTAAGAGCAGTTTTGAGTTGCTCAGTCTTAAAGCAATGGAGAGTGTGATCAGAGGCCACAGTTAAACACCAGGACACAACTATCCTTTGCTTTGATTCCCAATCTGTTTTCACTCACACATCTAGTTGCCCTAAAGCAGGGTACATTCCAGAAGTGTAAAAGTGGACTATCTTTAGTTGTTTCTTTCTTTAGTATGTGACTCTATGATGTAGCATTCAGACTCCGGGTAAGTATGTGAATAAATAGGTTTTATTTTTGAACTAAAAGTCTGCTGCCAGGTTGTTAAACCGACCACAGATAAAGGGGGCTTAGAAACACATTTATAACACAGTGTGGAGCTGGAGTAACTTTCGTGCTCCTCTGATGCTGCCTGGCCTGCTGTGTTCCTTCAGCTCCACACTGTGTTATCTCTGACTCCAGCATCTGCAGTTCTTACTTTCTCTTAGGAACACATTTCTCTTTCTAAAAAGAAACACAGATTGCAAATAGTAAGCGAAGAGAATTGGGAATTTCAGTTTTATTTCTTCCTTCCTGAATGTAACAAATCAACAAAAAAATGCTAGGTTCTAGCATGAACAGGTCCAGGCAATGAGCCATGGAAGGGATTATAATTCCCAATTGCCTACTTCTCTTTCTTGGCTATGTTCATGTCTGCGTCCCTAACGTGGGAGCATACAATGTCTACCTGTAGTCTCAAAGCTAGCAGACTTAAGGTGGCCATGGCAAGGGCTGGGATGCATTAGCTCCCCTAATAACACCCTTTACATTTTGTCCCTCCCTCGACACCCTATCTTCCTTTTCTGATTTTGTTGATGTTATTTATGTTGATGTGGGCTTTGTTTGTTAATTGTTAACTGGGTGCTGTACATTTGGTATTTTGAAAGAGTTTAGAATTACCCAAACACAAGATGTGCAACAGTCCAAAGAACAAGGACAGCAAGTGTGTGGAAGATCTGTAAGTATCGACGCTGACACACACCCTCCCAATATGGACGTACACTATCTTTCCCTCATTGCCACTGGGTCAAATACCTGAAATTTGTGACCTACCTTCATACTGGGTGTACCTACACCACATGGACTACAGCAGTTCAAGGAGGTAGTTCATCACCACCTTCTCAATTAAATATTAAAGAAAGTTACAATGTGTCACTGTACAATTACAGTTTAAAATGTGTATAAATGACTGTGTCAACATTATATTTTCTGTTTAACAGATTTACCCTGTCTTCTATTTTAACAGAAGTGTCCATTAAGTCTGTTAAATGAGTTAAAACTGAAAATTGCTATTTATAGCCACCAAGACCCATTAAGAACTCACAGTTCTGATTAGGCTAAGGTTTCAGTGTCAATTATTACTGTGACTATTATACATTGTTCATTAGTCAAGTGTTGCTGAAATCCCAAAGTCTTTTTCAAAAATTTATCATGTGAAATAATTACAAATCACTTCATTTCATATTTCATATTGAGGCTGCTGTGCTTATTCAAATCTAACAACAGCTTTCTAGAAATTGGCAAGATCAGCAAAACCAAAGATCATGATTTTGATTGATTCTCTAAAATAATCCTACTAATTATTTATAATGTCATCACTTGGCCTTTCTGTGTGTGACACTTTGTGCTGACCACACTGCAAAATCCACATTTTTTTTTAAAGATGTGGGTATCACTGGCTCAGCATTTACTGCCCATCCCTAATTGCCCAGAGGGTATTTAAGAATCAATCGCATGGCCATTGGTCTGGAGTCAGATGTAGGTCAGACCAGGCAAGACGGCAGATTTATTTCAAAAACAGAAATTGCTGGGCAAGCTCAGAAGGTCTGGCAGCACGTATGGAGAGAAATCAGAGTTAGCGTTTTGGGTCCAGAACTGTTCTGAGGAAGGGTCACTGGACCCAAAACATTAACTCTTATTTCTCTCCATAGATGCTGCCAGACCTGCTGAGCTTTTCCAGCAATTTCTGTTTTTGTTTCTGATTTACAGCATCCGCTGTTCTTTCACTTTTTTATTTGGCAGATTTATTTCCCTGAAGGATATCAATGAACCAGATAGGTTTCCCAACAATTGACGATGGCTTCATGGGCATCCTGAAACTTTTAATTCCAGATTTTTATTGAATTCAAATTCCACCACCTGCCATGGCAGGATGCAAACCTGGGTCCCTAGAACATTACCTGGGTCTCTGAATTAATAGTCCGGTGATAATACCCCTAGGCCATTATACCCTCATGGATTCTAATACCATGGGGCCTGACATTGTGTATCAGTACGGTAATCTTCAGGCTCTACTACCTCTGTAGATTGCTCCTGCTCTGACAACATCTCCATCTTTACTTTAACTAAGTGTAACTCTTTCTTTACTCTCATTAAATCCTATAAGCTCTTTATTTGCATTCTACTGTACAGAATACTGAACACAGCTCTCAAAGACGGTGTTTCCATTCTTCTCTTCTCTGTGTCTCGACACAGTGCGTGACTGTTGACGTCACAGAGGCAAGGTCCTGTATCTCATCATCATCAGTAATATATTTGTTCCAATTCTACTGCAAGAGATTATATTAATTTCACAAGCAGATTTTTTTGGAATTAACATGGGTTTTAACTTTCTGAACATTGCCATCCCTTACATATTTGTAGCTTCCACCGTCCTTTGGAATGATCTGCATGTTTTGAGGTGAGAGTAGCTTGTCGATGAAATGGACCACACCGTTGGCATTGATAATATCGCTGTTTATTATCCTGGCGTTTTTGTTTAGATACAAGGTGTTCTGTCAATGAAAAGGCATGGAAGAGGCTCTATTAAAACACTGTCAAAAATAACATGGAATATATTTCAAAATAAATTCTGATGACATCTATCATTGACAACCGTGGTGACAGATTTTCACTTCCAGGATCTCAATGATTACCTGATGGGATAGATTCAATGCCAATTATAGAATCTGCCTGGTTTCTATTCCACTGAAGTGGGCAGCCATTCACTCTGCCCAGTGACACTCCAGGTTATGAAGGCAAAAACCCACCTGGTAGCAGCAACATAATTTGCATTTATGCCGTACCTTCGACTCAAGGGGCTTCACAGGACTGCAATCAGATACCGAGCCAGAGAAGGACAGGTGACCAAAAGTTCAGTCAAAGGTGTAGGTTAGGTAAGTACAATCTTAAAAGAGAAGAGAAATAGTTGGACAGGCAGAGAGGTTTGAAGGAGAGAGACAGTTCGACAACTTGGGGCCTGGATGACTGAAAGCATGCCCTCTACTTGTAGGATATAGAAGCAGGGGTTTCCACATGGCATCAGAGTTGGAGGAGTCCAGAGGGTTGTGTGACTGCTGGAGGTCACAAAGATGGTAAAAGGGAAGATATGGATTCACCACAAAGATTGTGAATTTGGAACTCAAGTTATTGATGGAACACTCACAGAAACCTGCTGTTGCTGGGAGACCTTAAGAGGTGGGAGCAGGTGGACCATTCAACCCATCGAGTCTGCTCCACCATTCAATGAAATCATGACTGATCGGAGAAATACCGGGCAGTAACTTTGCATCCCTGAAAGATGGAACTGGCCCATAACAGAAGCGTTCTGAGTAACTTCCACTGCATGAATCATATAATATTGTATTGGTCTCCTTACATAAAGAACAATGTAAAGGCATTGATGGCAGTTCAGGGAGAGTTTATTAGACTAATACCTGCCAATGGGCACGTTATATCTTGAAAGGTTAGACAGGCCAGGCTTGTATTCACTGGGAGTTAGGAGAATGACTGAACCATATAAGATCCTGAGTGCTCTGACAGGGTGAATGTAGAAAAGATGTTTCCCCCTTGCGAGAGAATCTAGAACTAGGAGGTCTCAGTTTAAAAACAAGGATGGTCCCTTTAAGACAGAGATAAAAATGATCAATCTTCTGACAGAGGATTGTAAATCGTTGGAACTTTCTTCCCAAATTGGTAGTGGAAGCAGAGTCTTTGAATATTTTTAAGGTAGAGGTGGATAGATTCTGAGGTAGGAGAGGAATGTGGAGTAATCAGATCAGTTATGGTCTTATTGAATGGAAGAGCAGGCTTGAGGGGCCAAATGGCCTACTTCTGCTTCAAATTCATATATTCTATATGTCTGCACCATCTGTTGGGATAAATGGGTTTTCTTCTGGATGGCAAAAAGTAACAAGTGCAGTGCCACAGGGTTCGGTCCTTGGACCCCAGCTATTTACAATCTGCATTAATGACTTGGGTACAGTGACAGAAGGCCAAATGTGCAGACAACACAAAAATAGGCTGGACAGTAAACTGCAATGAGGAAATAAGAATCTTACAAATGGATATTGATAGGTTAGGAGAGTGGGCCAAAATGTGGCAGTTGGAATTTAACGTGGATAAGCGTGAGGTCATGCATTTTGATTGGAAAACTAGGAAGGTGAGCCATTATCTAAATGGGGAGAGACTTCAGGCTGCTCCAGTGCAGAGGGATCTAGGTGTCCTCGTTCATGAGTCACAGAAAACTAGCATGCAGGTACAGCAGGTAATAAAGAAAGTGAATGGAATGTTGGCTTTTATAGCTAAAGGAATAGAATATAAAGGGAAGGAAGTATTGTTGCAACTATACAAGGCATTGGTGAGACCGTACCTGAAGTATTATGCACGGTATTTGTCCCCTTATTTGAGGAAAGATGTAGTGGCATTGGAGGCAGTTCAGACCAGGTTCGCTAGATTGATCCCAGAGATGAGGGGTTTGTCGTATGAAGGGAGATTGAACAGCTTAGGCCTATACTGTCTGGAATTTAGAAGAATGAGGGGAGATTAAATTGGGGTATTCAAGATGATAAAAGGTATGGATAAAATAGACATGGAGAGGATGCTCCCTCTTGTGGGGCATCCTGGATGAGGGGTCATAGTCTTAGGATAAGGGGTAGCAAAGTTAAAACAGAGTTGAGGAGAAACTACTTCTCCCAATGGGTTGTGAATTGCTACACCAAAGCGCAGTGGATGCTGGGACAGTGAGTAAATTTAAGGAGGAGTTAGACAGATTTTTAATTGGTAATGGATAGAAGGGTTATGGGGAGAAGGCAGGAACATGGGGGTGAGGAGCATATCAGCCATGATCGAATGGTGGAGCAGACTTTGATGGGCCAAATGGCCTAATTCTGCCCCTACATCTTATGAACTTATGAATGACCCTCCAGGTCTTTCCTAAAGTGTGTAACACACTAGTTGCAGCTCAAACAGAGTTTAAAGATGATTTGGCATTCTCTGCATTTATAGTCAATGCCTCTGTCTGTAAAGATCTCATTCACTTTGCTTAATATCCTCTAAATACGCTCTGCTGCTTTGAAAGAGCTATTCATCAGTAGAAGAAAGGAAGGAATGAAAGACTCAGTGACTTATTGAGGGCAGCATTTTCTGTCAGTGCATCAACAATGGACATGAAAGTGCTGCTAATAATAGGCAATACTTCTGAATTAAAAAAATGCTTCATATTCCAATTTGAATTTGATCCATTGGGATTTTCCTTCACCAGAGAGTGCATACCACAGGAGGTACCATAGAATCCCTACAGTGTGGAAACAGGCCCTTTGGCCCAACAAGTCCACACTGACCCTCAGAGCATCCCACCCAGACACATCCCGCATAACCCACCTAATCTACACATCCCTGAACACTACGGGCAATTTAGCATGGCCAATCCACCTAACCTGAGATAACAAGGTGCAGAGCTGGATGAACACAGCAGGCCAAGCAGCATCAGAGGAGCAGGAAGGCTGACGTTTCAGGCCTAGACCCTTCTTCAGAAATGGGGGAGGGGAAGGTGGTTCTGAAATAAATAGGGAGAGAGGGGGAGGCGGATAGAAGATGGATAGAGGAGAGGAAACAGACAGGTCGAAGAGGCGGGGATGGAGCCAGTAAAGGTGAGTGTAGGTGGGGAGGTAGGTCAGTTCAGGGAGGACAGACAGGTCAAGGGGGCGAGATGAGGTTAGTAGGTAGGAAATGGGGGTGTGGCTTGAGGTGGGAGGAAGAACAGGCTAGGGAGGTGGGGACAAGCTGGGCATCTTTGGACTGTGGGAGGAAACTGGAGCACCTGGAGGAAAACCACGCAGACATGGGGAGAATGTGCAAACTCTACACAGTCGCCCAAGGCTGGAATTGAACCCAGGTCCCTGGCGCTGTGAGGCAGCAGTGCTAACCACTGAGCCACCGTGCCACCCCTAGGATGGCAAGACGAACGGTGAGTGCCTTGGTGAAGGGAATGGAGAACCGGGCTGGGAGTGAAGTGGAAAATGTGACAGTGAGACGGAAGCACCACTTTGGGTTCTGGTGTGTTGTGCTCGCTCATTGATGGTGTCAACAGCACTGACTTCTTGTTCAACTGCATTGGCAGGAGAGATACCATTTATTCATATAATGCCTTTCTTGAGCCAAAAGTGCTTTACAATCAATTCCCCACCTTCAAAGTGTAGTAACAGTTAGTAATGCAGGATGGGGGAAGGTGTCAATTTCTGCACAGCAAGCTCCCATGAACAGAAATGGAAATGAATGACCAAATGATCTGTTCTGGTGAGGTTGATTGAAGGTTGAATATTAGGCCCAGAAAACAGGCAGAACTCTCTTCTTTGTATCTAGGATCTGCCTGAGAGAGTGGATAGATCCTCAGGTTAACATTTTATTCAACAGGCAGCGCCTTTGACAGTTTGACACTCAGGGTAATAACTAGTTGGATTGCCTGCATAGCTTGTGGACTTAAGTCTTGGGAATGGGGCTTGAACTCACAACCTTCTGTTACCAACTGAGCTAAAACTATCCTTTGGTTGCTTCAGTTACTTTCCCCTCACACCTTATTAATTTACAATTTAAACATCAATTTACAAGGAGGTCCAGATTACATCATCCAGTGCTTGTGCAATATGGCAGCCCAGACTCTCACCTTTACATAGGAAAACTGTATAGTTTCTCCATGAACAGTGATGAGACTTTTCTTGGAGATTAGCTGATTGTACAGCACTTGATTACATGCCACAATGTGATAACGGAGGATCTGTGCCATTTGTCCATTTGCCGTCCAGTCTGGTATCTAAATGTTAAAAAGAACGTGGAGGTGATTGAATATTCATGCAAAATTACTCAAACAGCCGGCCTACAGCTCACCTGCGCTTACCTTAGCTTCATTCTTAAAAGCTTCATTGCTTGGAACGAATACAGTGAAAGGGCCCAAACCACCCAGTTCAGTGATACCATTAAGCTGTACAGAAAAAAAAGAAAATCTTAATTTGAAAATGTTGCTTCACCGTCGTGACCACAGACAGCCAGTTCCAGTTGAAATTTCCATTTTATAAGGAGGCTAAAAGGCTGGGGGAGGGCAGGGTAGCTTTTATGGAAGAGGCAGATAGAATATTGACAAACAAGGGGCCAAAGGTTATTGAGGGTGTATAGGAGAATGGACTAAGGCCATGATCCAATCAGAACCCATCTTATTGAATGGTGGAACAGGCTTGACCGGTTGAATGGCCTCCCAAGGTCCTAATAGATAGATAATACCAGATTAATGACCTATTCCAGGTCCTAATAGATAGATTACACTAGTTTCTGGTAGATAATACAAGATTAATGATCCTTTCCAGGAGCTGATAGAGAGATAATACCAAATCAATGACCTACATCAGGTCCTGACAGATAGATAATACCAGATCATTTGCTTTGCTGAAGGTAACTGAGGGATGAATAAACAGCATTGCAGCAAATCTGGAAGTTCCTGCTCCATCCTGCCTCCTCGTGAGTTATGTCCAACTGGAGAAACTGCACATATAAATATCTAATCCACATTTCCATTAATTTACACATTCCCTTACTTACTGGTAGTAACAGATCTTTTATGTATTGCTTTACACATCAAGAGGCAAAACCTCCAATGAACTGTGCCTTCCCAAAACCTACAGAATAAACCAGCAAGGGAGACTGACTGAAAGACCAAGGGGACTGAGCTGTTTCATGAACTTGATTGCCAAGGGCTGGGGTGCCTCATGTGTAACTGCATCAGATAGACTGCAGATGTTCAAGAAGGTGGCTCACAACTGCTTACACAGGGGCATCTAGGGATAGGCAATAAATGTTGGCCCAGCCAGCAACCCCCACAAACCATGAATGAATAAAAAATAAATATACAGCCCCGGTTTGTCACTATCTGTCCCACAACATAGCTCAAAATTGATCAATGGTCCAAGAACTGCCGCCCAACAACATTTAAGAAGATCAACAGTTCAATTGTAACCCTAACTTTAAGCTTAACCTTAACCCTAACCCTATCACATCAATGTCAAAGCAGCTCCCTTGGTCAAGGGAGCTGCTCATCACCGTTCCTTGTCCAGAGTTACAACCTTATGTGGCATCCATTCTGTTTTGAAGAACATGTCAGGGTAAATCTAATATTTCCATACTCAACCCGAGCAGGGATTCATACACAAAGGACATGTTTCTCTGATATGCTGTTGTTGCACTTGTTGTAGCTTTACCTCCAACACACGTTTCCTCTGAAGATACTGACTGAGATGAGGTGACTGATGAAATAGCTTTATTTGAACCATTTATGAGTTTATGTTTCTGGGTCATGGCTGTAATTGTCTTTATTTTTAAGAATCCCTACAGTGTGGAAGCAGGCCATTTGGCCCAAATCGACCCTCAAAAGAACATCCCAACCACCCCCACCCCCGTCCCCATAACCCTGCATTTCCCATGACTAATCCACCTAGCCTCTACATCCCTGGACACTATGGGCAATTTAGCATGACCAATCCACCGAAGCTGCACATATGTGGGAGAAACAACCAGAGCACCTGAAAGAAACCTACACGGATGCAAGGAGGATGTGCAAACTCCTGGAATCAAACCTGGGTCCCTGGCGCTGTGAGACAGCAGTGCTAACCACTGAGCCACCATGCCATCCAAGCCACCATTCTCTCGGATGACTTAGAAAGCTCAAGGGCAGGGAGAGATCGGTGACAAGTGCTGCCAGCAATGTGTAAGTTCCGTGAAAGAATAAAGAATAGTTATGCACCATTACACTTATTGCTAAGAAAAGGTTACCTGGAGGTGATAGAAAAAACGGGAAGATGCTGTGTTTCTTGTCATCTCCTGGAAAGGAAGAGTGAAAAATTTTTCTTAAGTGGCTGATCTGAAGAGAACACTGAGCTGTTGATGCTGGAAACATGACTGTCATTGAAGTACAGATCCATAGAAATAACATCCCTGAACACACCTTGTATATGGTACCTTTACAGGTAAACCCATCACCGACGTAACTCGTCACACAGCTACACACTCGCTCATTTGGCCCAGTGTGATTGCAACTAGCAAATTCACTGCAACCTCCATTGTCCTGTAATAAGGTAAAAGGAAAATTTTTAAAAATCACACATCACTATGATCTGAGCTCTTAATAAATAACTTGTATTCAATGAGGATGTACAAAATAACCGGTTTTGTGCTTACCACTCGGCAAGGGTTCACTGGTTCACAGGTCTTTCCATCACCTTGATATCCAGTCAAACAGTTGCATGCTGCCTAAAATCACCAATGAAAATTTTAAAAACTAGGTCTAAAAGGTAATCAAGGATGTTACAATTCTGACAAATATATGTTATGAGCCGGCTAGGCACCAGTAACATTATTTTAAAGTGGAAAAGTGAGAGATCCAGCAGACTTACTAAGAGAACACTTATGCCACAAGATTCCACATTTTTGAGCAAAGAACAACAAACTTTATTATACAACATTGCAGTAGTAATACAACGTACATGTGCAACTTATGTTTTAACACTCCCCAATTAGCACGTGATAAATTTGGGTAATAGACTGTGATCAGATATCCCACAGCATACATCAAATAACAAATGAGATCAAGATGAGTGCCATAGATTTTTCAGTAAATCCCCCCAGACATTAATAAATGGTAGGTCATCAACTCTCATTAAAATTCACAAGAAAATTTACAAGCCTTCAGTTTTGCTGACCTGACCTTAAAACTCCCTGTCAATAGCCATTCTGGGGATGTTCTTGTCATGGAATGTTCTTTTCTGGTTGCTCATTCTCTTTTCCTGCTTCTGTGCTCCCTGCACGCCAGTAAATGAACTATTGACCAGGCACAACATCAGCTTTTCAATGACACTTAGCTTCACTACGCTAGAGCTATCCTTGGTTTTCTGAGATCTACTTTCACCTCAGTTGCATCAAGCAAACACTGCTTGATGTTTTTCAACACCCACTCTGTGCTAAACCGCTGTGGCTTCTTGACTCCTCTTCCCCAAAGCTCTCAGGGATTTCTCTAAGTCCTGACTTGAATACTTATTATTAACTATTAACTCCTGGAATATTTGCCTAAGTTTTAACAGTAGAGAGATTAACAAATGCTTTTGAATTTTCACTGAGTTCCCTCCAGAGAATGCATGTAGAATCAAATTACCCGATTTCTGCATTTGTTGGCTCTCTACTCCCCTCTACTGGTTGTGGGCTAATAAGTAGGACAACCACTGGGCTGGACATACACAGGGGCAAATTCCTAGGGATCTGAACAACTTACAATGAACCACATGTTAGTAGGTGCTACAAGAGGTTTGAAATGAGCTTGAACTGAAGCGTGTGGAATTAACTTTACTGACCTGGTTTGGTCCAGTTTGAGTGCATTCAGCATTTGTGTGACATCCTCCATTATTCTCCAGGCAAGGGTTGATTCCTTTTATTAAAAAAAAGTGAAATGATGCCTTTTATAAATTAATTTTGTTACCGAGTTTATCATCTTTAATTTTTATTCAAAAAAACTTGCATAAGTATTTATATAAACAAAAAATTAAAATTGTACATGGAATATGAGTTTCTCAGCATTTATTGTCTATTCCAAATGATCTTTGACAGCTGTTTTCTTGGGCTGCTGTAGACTATGTGATGTAGGCAGACTATTTGGGACAGAGTTCCAGGATTTTGACCCTACTGTTGTTATTGGGCCTGAAAGGGTTAATATCTAAAAGTGTGTGATCATGACCATTCTTTGTTAATAGCATGCAGAAAGTCACATGGACAGTCTCAGTGAGATTGAGACACAGGCAGCTAAGAGAAAGATGCAGAAGTTCCTGTGTAATTGGTATATTGTGCAGTAATTAACAATTTAATGTAAACTTTACCTGACTCTTGACATCTCTACAAGCTATTTCAGAGTTGGATAACCTCTAACCAAAGACCACTGGAGGCAGGCAGCAATGGTCACAACACCAGCAACAGTGATATGTTTCCAAGTCAGACTGATGTGAGATTTAGGGGAATTCATTTTTCCATGCATCTGCTGGCTTTGTCATGCCAGGTGATGGAAGTGGTGGGTTAGGAAGGTGCCTTTGAAACAGACTTCAAAAATTATTGCAATGAATCTTAAAAGATGTTATATACTGCTACCGGTAGTAGAGGAAGTGAATGTTTAAGGTAGTAGATAGGGGGTCAATCAAGTGGGCTGCTTTGAGTTGGATGGCATTGGACTTCTTGAGTGTTGTCGGAGCTGCACTCATCCAGGCAAGTATTCTGTTACACTCCTGATTTGAGCTTTGTAGATGGTGGACAAGCTTTGGGGAGACCAGAAGTGAATTACACTCAAGACTCCCTAAACCTGCTGTTATTACCACTGTGTTTATATGGTGGATCCAGTTAAATGTCCAGCCAATGGTAGGCCAGGATATTGATGGTCAAGTATTTAATGATGATAATGTCATGGAAGATGAGGAGAAATGGTTTGAATCTTTCATGTTTGGAGATGTTCATTGCCTATCAATTGACTGGCACAAATGTGACTTGCAACTTATTAGCCCAATGCCTGATTGTTGTCTAAGTCTTGTTCCATTTGGACACAGATTGCTTCAGTATCTAAGAAGTTGTCAATGGTGCTGAACTTTGTGCAGTTATCAGCAAACATCCCCATTTCTGACCTTATGATGGAAGGAGGGTCATTGATGAATCAGCTGAAGGTGGTTGGGCTTAGGACCGTACACTGAGGAATTCCTGCAGAGATGTATCAGGACTGAGATGATTGACCTCAAACAACCACAACCAGCTTCCTTAATGCTAGGCAGGATCCCAACTAACGGAGAGATTTCCTTTCAATTTCCATTGTCCCCACTTTTGCTGGGAATCTTTGATGCCAGGCTCAGTGAAGTGTTACTTCGATTCAAGGGGCCGTCACTGTCACCCACCTCTGGAATTTAGCTCTTTCGTCCAGTTTGGACCATATTTGTCCATATTTGAAATTTGAATCTTATTCAGTGGGCGGCTATATCAAAGAAGATGTACTTTGTTATTACCAATGCATATAAGCCCATCACCGGTGTATCCTGTCCGACAAAGGCAATCCCTTTTCCCTGGGAGCGTTATTTTGCAGTCTGCATTTGGCGAGCAACCTCCATTGTTTGTCTCACAGGCGTTCACAGCTATGATAAACATTATAGATCAGAATTGTCTTTGCAAACTAATAGTAACATCACTAAGATACTATCAATATTGTTAACTTTAATTCCGTGGCACAAGGATCAATGAATAAATTTTAAGAGGAATAGAGAGATTTTTAGAATTTTTCCAGCGAGTGGAGTTGAGACTGAGATGAGATCAGTCATGATTGTATTAAATAGTGGAGCAGGATTGAGGGGCTGAATTGTCTACACCTGCTCCTAGCTCTTATGATTTTAAGAAGATAATTTGACAACTATACACCCACTCTTCACTTGAACAATGGATTAAGGGATTGCTGGAGACAGGCATTTAGTGAAATTTATTCTGAGTGCCATTGTGTGATAGTTAACAATACCTATTACCCATACCAGTAGGTATCACTCAATAAATCAGATGATGTACTTTTGCACAACAACAAGAATACCACGCAGATAAAGCATTAAGAGTGCAATTGCTGAATGGTAAAGCAGAACTTTTACAGACTGCAAAGTACTTATAAATTTAAAGCTTCATCAAGGGAAGTTAAATAATTTATTTTTATTTAAAATTATTTTGCATTTGCAAAATGTATCACTTTGAAGTAGGAAATGAATAGTGTGTATGTACTACTGGTGATTTATAATTAAGTCAGAGGGTGTGTTGTTTCATAGAGGCAAAGATGATACCATCTAACATATTGTTTTATTTACTCTAATGTAAATATGGGCTCTTTTAAGGCTTTGAGCCTTAGCTGATATTGAGTAAACACTGATGAATCAATTCAAAGGTTAATTGTTATACAGATTGGAAACCAGAACCTGCCTCTCTTTTTAGGAGTTTGAATGAACTGACAGAATTGATGGAATGGAAATATTGACATGTTTTATAAAATTATAAAGTATTTATAGCCTGAATTTATGCCCAACTGGTCGATGCTGAGTTTATCATCCACAGGAACTTTGCCCATTCATTTTAATCTCGCTCTATCAGCACACTGTACTCATTCATTCCTTTCTCCATTACATTATAATGCAGCACTTCAACTAAATTATCTATCAACCACAATACACAAGATAGTTTGTTTGAGGGGAAAACTGCGAATAGGTTCCAACAGAAAGAACTCAGAGTCCTACCTTACCTTCACAGAATGTGCCGTTGCCTTTGAAGCCAGTTGCACATTTACAGTACGGGTTGCTAGATATTTCAGAGATGCAGCTGTGAAAAGGATTAAAAGTTCGGAACGTTAACACCAAATAAGCTGGTTAACTACTAATTTGATTAATTTCGAAACTGTTCTATAACCCAAAGGAAAATAACGGAAGGGCACATACTTAGCACTTGAATGGCAGCTTTTATTGCACTGGTCATTAGTGATTTCTGCAAATAAAAATCAAAGAGGCACAATGCAGATGTTCATATTTCACCTTCCAAATCATATGATAGTAAGCCTTAGAAATTTTATGATAGAAAGAATATATGAAAATCTTGATACTATTAAAATTGTACATTAGTATTATCATTTTTGAATCAACCAGTCCTGGTTTCAAGACCCAGTAAGTATTTACATACACACAACCATTGCTGACTCTGGGTGTCAGCTGGATGGCTCGTTCGTGATGCAGAGCGACACCAACAGTGTGGGTTTAATTCCTGCAGTGGGTGAAATTAACATGAAGGTCCTACCTTCTTAGCCTCGCCCCTTGCCATGAGACATGGTGACTGTAGTGATAGCAACGAGGTCAGCTGGTGGACCTCACAGAATATGAGTGCCCTGGTTGGATCAGATTAACAGCCCCAATCAGGGAGCCCTAGCTGACAGATATAAACAGGAGTGTCAGAGATTCTCAGAGCTGGCTCTGAGGGAGCTGGAGCAGTGTCAAGGACTCTCCACTGGTAAATAAAGGGAAATGGTGGCAGGATACCAGCCTCTGTGGAGTTATTTCAGTGACCCTCAGGTTAACCCCACTACCGGTTGTCCATTGCTATTCCTCTTGGACTATGATGACCTTACCTTTATGGTGCTATGGTACAGCTGCAATGGCAAAAGTGCCATCTTTTAGCTGAAAGATTAAACCAAGACCTGCTTCTTATTCTTCACTTTGGCAATACTGGAAGTCGAGAAGCATATACTGACCACTGCTCCTTGCTACTAGCTAAAAGCAGAAATGTTATTAGTTGGGTTTTGCTGTGCACAAATTGACTACCCCATTGCTGTGATAGCACACAGGAAAATACAATTCATTGATTGTGATGTGTACTGGAATGTCCTGAAGTGTGATAAAGGTTCTATATAAGTAAACAAGGAGAGAATCTCATGTCATGTTTGGAAACACTAGAGTTTATAAACCAAATGCACTTTTTAAAATTCATTCATGGGATGAGGGCATCACTTTTAGACAGCATTTAATGCCCATCACTAATTGCCCAGAAGGCAGTTGAAAGTTAACCATATTGCTGTGAGTCTGGAGTCATATGTAGGCCAGACCAAGTAAGGATGGCAGTTTCCTTCCCCAAAGGACATTAGTGAATTAGATGTTTTTTTCCCGACAATCAGCAATGGATTCATGGTTATCACTAGATTCTTAATTCCAGATATTTTTAATTGAATTCAATTAGGGCTGTGGCGGAATTCAAACCCAGAACGATATCTTGGTCTCTGGATTAACAGTCCAGTGATAATACCACGAGTCCATTGCCTCCCCAAGGGGCTTTAGGGCAACGCAAAGCACTTTGTAGCCAAATTGGAATTTTCTGGGGGAATGTAATGGGGTGACATGGGCAACCATTTTCACAAAACAAAGTTCCGCAGACAACAATGTGATAATGATCAAAGAATCTATTTCCAAACATTAGCTCGAGGCATTAATATTGGCCAAGATAGTGGGGAGAAATTGCCCACTGCTCTTCGAAATAATGTTATGGGATATTTTAAATCCAGCTGAGATGGCATACGGACCTTGGCTATAATCTCACAAGTCACAGAAACAGCCTGTTAATCCCTCAAACCTGTTCTAGAATTTGCTGAAATTATGGAAGGTCTGAGATCTAACCCCATAATTTTAAAACAAACATTAAAAATGTTTTTAAAAAATGCTGTTAAAACTGCGAATACATATAGGTTAAGATCTTGAGAAAAGAAGCTAAAAAATTAGGGCAACATGACCTCTGATGGTATAGCCAAAAACAACTGGAAAGGACTTATTCAGTTAATAGGTGGCCCTTTATAGAAAGACTGAAATGTTTATCTTTTTAACTTTAGCTCTTATTCGTCTAACCCATACAATGAATAACTGTAAGGTAAAGTAATTTTGTTTTTATGTCTCTATTTTGCAGCAAAGATTTGTATATAGGTACTTTGTACCTAGGATGGCACCATGAGGGGCAACATTGTAAACTGAGCTTGTAGACTTGCTCGCTGAGCCGGTGTGTTTGGTTGCAGACGTTTCGTCAACCTGCTAGGTAACATCGTTAGTGTGCCTCTGGTGAAGCGTTCTGACGATGTTAGCTAGCAGGGTGATGAAACGTCTACAATCAAACACACCGGCTCAGCGAGCAATTCTACAACCTCATCCACAACCCGAGCTATATATCTTCTCAAAAACTTTAACCACTGTAAACTTTTCACTGTACTCCTGTACTACTGTACTTGAGTACACATGCCAATAAATCTGATTCTAATTCTAATTCTAGCTCAGTTTTTCTGGCTGGCTAGCTTGCAGTACAGAGTGATGCCAACAGCATGGGTTCAGTTCCTACATCAGTTGAGGTTACCATGAAAGACTCTCCTTCTTAACCTCTCCCCTTGCCTGAGGTGTGGTAACCCTCAGGTTAAACCATTACCAGTTGTTTCACTTTGTGATGGGACAGTAGGACTATGGCAACTTTATCTTCATCTTTATTCAATTTTCATCTTGTATTCATGGTCTTGTAGGTCATCACTCTGGAATGCTCATTTGATGTGATATCAAGAAACAACAGATGGCTTAACAAGTTGTAGAAGCTTTGCAATTTATAATTATATAATTCATTCATCATTCATCAAGATCTATATTGAGATAAGGTGCCATGTTAAATCATGAAATACATTCCAAAATTAGGCGACATCATTTTGCTGCCAATTTCAAAATGAAGGTGATACTTTCTGAATCTTCATTCACTTTTGGTTGGCTGACAAAGAGATATGCAGTTGAAAATTTTCATCTTGTACTTATCAAGGCAGAATTGTAAGCATACAACATCTCAACAGGGACAACAATTTATGCTGCATGATGAGAGGGTGCTGATTGGATGGCACATGGACTCTGATTGGTAGAGGCGTAGCGACAGAGAATGCATTAGGGAACCCTGGACTATTGCAATGAACCCTGTAGTTGGCTACCATGTATTTCCTGATCCTTTCTTTTCCTCTGCAGGACTAAACTTGTACATAATCCTTACACAGAAGCACCAGAACAGAATAGCCCTTTCCTCCCACATTCTAAACTTCATACTTACAGCCAATAACTGGTTTCAGAAATAGCAATGAAGTTATGCTGTTGATAAACATTCAACACTTGATGGGGAAAAATACTTGAAAGAGAAATGTTTGCAGAGGCGTAGGCAAAAGATAGAGGAGTGGGATTAGTTATATAATTGCTTTCAATGAGGTAGCACAGACATATGGAGCAAATGGCTTCCTTTTGTGTTATTTGTTCAAAGATAGTTTGTGGTCAGCATGTTACCTGATATCTTCAGTAACCAGAAGAAAACTGTGTATTTACCATTTTAACAGAGTAGTAGCTATAAGGAATGGGGGTCATTTTGCTCAGTTGGCTGGACAGCTGGTTTGTCAGTGATGCCAAAAGCAAGGTTCCTGTGCCAGCTGAGGTCATCATGAAGGTCCCACTGTCTCAACTTCACCTCTCTCCTGAGGTGTGGTGACCCTCAGGTTAAACTCACCACCAGTTATTTCTCTCTCTCTCTAATAAAAAAGCAACATATGCTCCTCTAGGATAACAACAATTTTCATTTTCCCTTCAATTCTAGGGAGAAAATATATTTGCCTTTGACTCCTTCATTTTGCTAGATAGCTATTGCCTCTGATACAAACAAGCTCACTGTTGGTTAACAGAATAAATTCAAACTTACGAACATCGCAGTTGATTCCTTTCCATCCCAGATCACATTCGCAAGTTCCATCCCCATTGATTCCTTTGTTGCATTTACCGTGAACACACCTACATTCTGGAAAGTGATTAAGAATAACAGGTTGATTATTGCAACAAAAATTAAGAAACATCCTATGGCATAACAACAAGCATTATTTTTAAAATTATTTTTCCTGGAAAGTTGCATCTAGAAAGTGAACAGAGACTTTCCCTTTGAAGCACTGCATAGAAACATAGATAACATAGAAAACAGGAACAGGAGTAGGCCATTTGGCCCCTCGAGCCTGCTCCTGTATTCTATAGGATCATGGCTAATCATCCAACTTAGTACCCTGTTCCTGCTTTTACCTCATACCCCTTGGCCCCTTTAACTCTAGGAATGATATCTAACTCCTTTTTGAAAACATTCAATGTTTTAGCCTCAACCACTTTCTGTGGCAGAGAATTCCACAGGCTCACCACTCTCTGGGTGAAGAAATTTCTCCTCAGCTACTGAAGACCTAAAGGCCTACCCCTTCTGGACTCCCTGGTTATCAGGAACATTCTTCCTGCATTTACCCTGCCTAGTCCTAGTAGAATTTTATAGGTTTCTATGAGATCTCCCCTTATTCTTCTAAACTCCAGTGAATATCATCCCAACAAATCCAGTCCATCTTCATACATCAGTTCTGGCATCCCAGAAATTATTGAAGGAAAGACATCACTTCATTGCAGGCAGTTCAGAAAAAGTTCGCTACAATGATCCCTAGTATGGAGGGATTGTCTTATAAGCAAAGGCTAAATAGGTTAGAACTCCACTCAGTGGAGTTTAGAAGCATGGGAGGTGATCTCATTGAAGCATACAGCATTCTTAAGGGGCTTGATGGGATAAATGCTGATCCTCATGGGAAAATCAGAGAACACAGTCTCATAATAAAGGGGCACCAATTTAAGACCAAGATGAGGAGGAATTTCTTCTCTCAGAGGCTTGAGTGTCTTTGGAACTCCTTGCCACAGAGAGCTGTGGGGACAGAGTCCTTTCGTATATTTAAGGCTGAGATAGACAGATTCTTGATCAGTAGCAGAATCAAAAGTTACGGGAAAAATGTAGGAAAGTGGACGTGAGGGATATCAGCCAGCCATGATCTTATTGAATGACAGAGCAGGCTCGAGGGGCCAAATGGCCTACTTCTGTTCCTAGTTCTTATGATCTTATGATGTTATGGAATCAGCCTGGTAAAACTTTATTACACTCTCTCCTTAGCCAGAACTTCCTTCCTCAGATAAGGGGACCAAAGCTGCACACAATATTCCAGGTGTCTTGAGTTCTTTTAGGAGTTGGCAGATTCTTTGGAGTGCATCTATAAATCAGTTAGTTTTTCACAAGGATTTAGAAGTTTTCAACATTATTTTCCCTGGTGCTGAATCAAAAACAAACAGATTTATTGAATTCTATTTCACAGTTTGTCATGGTGAACACAAATATACAATTTAGGAGCAGCAGTAGGCCATTTGGTCCCTTGAGCCCACCCTGCCTTTCATCAAGATCATGGCTGAACTGGTAATTCTACATTCCTGTCTACCCCTATGCTTACCAAAAACCTATCTACCTCTGCCTTAAAAGAATCTGATTCCAACGACTTTTAAGAAGACTGCAAAGACTCAGCGACCCTCCTTGAGGAAAAAAAATCTCCATCTTAAAAAGGTGACCCTTTGTTTTAAACAGTGACGCCAATTCTAGATCTTAAGAGGATCTTAACATCCTCTCCACATTGACCCTGTTAAGACTCCTCAGGATCGCATACATTTCCATCAAGTTATCTCTCACTCTTCTAAACTTCAGGGATATACAAACCCAGACTGTCCAACCTTTTCTTATAAGAAAACACACTCTTTCAGGTATTTATCTAGTATTTGCCGAATTTTATCCAATGTATTTAAATCCTTTCTTCAATAAGGAGACCAGTACAGACACAGTACTCCAGTTCTGGTCCCACCAATGTCCTGTATAACTGAAGTATAATGTCTCTACTTTTATATTCAATCCCACTCACAACAAGTGATGATGTTCCATACATTTTTCAAATTAATTGTAGTAGTCGCATATTAACCTTTTACAACTGATGCCCATGGACACCAGTTCCTTCTGCATCTCAGATCTCTCCAAAAGCTTGCCATTTAAATAATCCACTTAATTTTTATTCTTATTCTACCTGTTTCCTGTCATCACCAAATTTAGCAACGAAACTGTCAGTGTCTTCATAAAAGTAATTTATGTAAGTTGTAAAAGGTTGAGGCCCCAGCACTGACCTTTGTGGGATACCACTCATGGTGCAAAATGCCCATTCAGTTTGTTTGCTATACCCATATTTTATAGCGGAATTTAAAACTTGTGACCTTAGTATTGTAACCAGCACATTTCCACTTCTGTTCTTGTCCATAGAATAGTGTATTCTTGACAGATGGAAGAAACCAGAGCTAGTCTTTACTTGTAATGGATTTATTCACAGAACAAAACAAGCATATATATATTTCCTGACTCCACTCTACTGCGGTTTCAGTAAGAGTCTCTTTACATGAGCTTAAGCAACCATCAAATCAATGCCCCTTCCCTGTATATACTTATTGCTAGTTGATATAACACTGGCATTGAATATAGTAGATGGGATGTCTTGTTGCACCTGTACTAGACATTGGTGAGGCCACATTTAGAATACCATGTGCAGTTTTGGTTGTCCTACCATAGAAAGGATATTATTAAACTAGAAAGAGTGCAGAAAAGATTTACTAGGATGCTACCTGGACTGGAAGGTTTGAGTTATAAGGAAGTTGGGTAGGCTGGGACCTTTTTTCCCTGGAGTGTAGGAGACTGAGGGGTGACCTTGTAGAGATCTATAAAATCATGAGGGGCCTAGATAAAGCCAGCAGCTTTACCCTTTGATAGGGGTGTCTAAAACTAGAGGGCATAGGTTTAAGGTGAGAGGGGAGAGATACAAGGGGGTCTGGAGGGGCAATTTTTTTTCACACAGAGGGTTCTGAGCGTCTGGAATTGGCTACCAGAGGTAGTGGTGAAAGTGAGTACAATTTCATCATTTAAGAAACATTCAGATAGGTACATGGATGGAATACATATGGAGGTATATGGACCAAATTCAGGCAAATACTTAATTGTGAAAACTGGGTGGCATGAGCAAGCTGGGCCGAAAGGCTTGTTTCCATGCTGTAGATCTCTACGACTCTATGAAGACTACAGTCGTTAGTCTGTATAATGATAACAGATATTAGCTTATCAGTTCTTCAGTGCTTAATGGCAAACTAAGGACATAAATAATTTTCCATAATATACCACAAACAATTTATGGAGATTGTTTTAAACAGTGAGGAGGGCAATTTCCTCTGGCTGCTTAGTGTTACAACAACAACTTGTATTTACATAGCATCTTTAATATTAGTAAAACATTCCAAGATACTTCTCCATCAAACAGTATGGAAAGCATTGGGCAGATGACCAAAAGCTTGGTCAAAAGTGTATGTTTTAAGGAACATCTGGAAGGAAGAATGATGGTTAGAAAGAAGGAAAGCATTCAATGAGCAGTTCCAGTGGGTAGTTGAAGGCACAACGATTAAAGTTGAAATGCACAAGACTTGGGAATCAGAGAAATGCGAGTGTCAGTGGGGCTTGTAGGGCTTCAAGAAATTATGGAGTTAGGAAGTTGTTCAAGGCTACTGAGGGGTTCGAAATCAATGTAGAGAATTTTAAAATTGACGCTGTGTTTGATCAGCAGCCACTGTAGGTCAGCAACATGGGACCACGGCAGATGGATTACTAGCTCTTTTGTAACACATTAATAATTTCTTCAGAAGTGGGAAATGGGAGATCTTCCTGTTAGGATAATAATGCATGTTAACAATCATAGATATCTCTAAAATAGGGAGATGCAATTAGGAACACGTGCAGATAGTATGAGATGAAAAAGGGTTTGTTGAACCACGTGTGAAGCATAATTAACAAGGAGCTTCAAACATATAAATTCGGAGCAGCAGTGGGCCACTCGGCCCCTCAAGCCTGTTTTGCCCTTCAACGAGACTATGGCTGCCCTGATTGCTCCACTTTCCTGCCTATCGCTGATAACCTTCCACTCCCTTCTTTATACTATGGTGATAAATTGACCAGTTAGAGAGCTTGGCCTGTAACTGTGCTGTAAATTCAATGTAGTTCCTTTAACATCTAACACAAATGGAAATGAGCTCTGAGTGAGAGACGGACTTGGAAAATTAACGTGACACTGTTGTTTGAGATAGTGGGAGTACCTTTCTAATGGAGAGCCAAGCATTTTCTGAGTGGGGCCAATATGAATCCAATGACCAAGCTAAGATAAAGGCATAGAAAAGAGAGATAATGGCAGAACCTACCTTGATCGCAATGTATACCATACTCTCCATCAATACAGGTCTCACATGCTGTCCCGGTAAATCCTTCTTCACATTCACATGTACCTGTGCCATTAATTCCATCTTGGCAAATACCATTCCCAAAGCACCAATTTGTGGATCTTCCTGGGCACGCCTGGCATTGTTTTCCAAAGTAGCCAGCACAGCACTCTCGAGTCTGGAAGAAACCCACCAAAAAAAAACTAAGACAGAGCAGCAGTGTAATTGATACACAGAATTACATTTTAAATGTTGTGTTCTGAGCATCATTGGTGATGGGTTCTCTCAGCACACACATTGGAAAGAAAGGGTTACACTATAACCTTCAAAGACAGCAGTGGAGGAATAATTATTCTGCACTGGTGGACAGTGGGGACCTGGCCACAGCATGGGTGACGACCCTGTCTCTGAGCCAGAAGCTCCGGGTTGGAGTTCTACCCAGGACTTAACGGCCAAGGCATAACAAAAGGCAGACAAGTTGATTAGAAACCTGTAAATGCTTCCAACACAAAGCAACAGTGGTCACTAAGAACAGGAAAGGTTCCTGGTCAACCACGTAATGAAAGAACATTGAAGCCTCGGCTTTACAACACTCTTGTAAAAGTGTATGTTGCCATAGCAACTTCTCCAAAGCCTGTCCACCATCTACAAGGCACAATTCAGGCGTGTGATAGAATACTTGGCTGGATGGGGGCAGCCCCAACAACACTCTAGAAGCTTGGCACCCTCCAAGGAGCCTGCTTGATTGGTATCATATTCATAGACATTCATTCCCCCCACCACCAAAGTTCAAATCCAGCAGTATGTACCATCTACAAAATGAAAGGAGCAATTCATCAAGGCTCCTTAGATGGTGCCTTCCAAACCCACAATTACTACCATCTAAAAGGACAAGGGAAGCAGATACATGGGAATACCATTACCTGAAAGTTCGCTTCCAAGCCACTCATCATCCTGACTTGGAAATATATCACTGTTCCTTCAGAGTCACTGGGTCAAAATCCTGGAATTTTCACTCCCTGGGATCATTGTGTGTGTACCTATACCACATGGACTGCAGCGATTCAAGAAAGTAGCTCACCACCACCTTCTCAAGAACAACCATAGATAGGTAATGAATGTCGGCTGAGCCAGTGATGCCCACATCATATGAGTGAATAGGAAAAAAAATTCAAACACCCTGAGTGAGCTGTAACCCACGACCACCATGACTGGACAAAATGACAATTACTTCCAAACAACTAGGCATCAAGGGTTGGACTGTTTTATTCACAGCCTCAGGGGTAGCTCCACTGTCCTACCCCTATGTTGATCATGACCCAGTTTTGTAAACAATTGGAAATCTACTCGTGACATCCTCACCCTGGTGGTGATGAACTGTGAACATTGCTGTAGCCAGGAGTCATGTTCATTGTGCAGTGGAATACTGAAGGCTGCAGCCAATTCATCAGTGACAAAAAGGTCTTCAACAGGTCCTGAAACAGGGAAAGGAAACCTAAACCGGATCAAAAGACCTCCGCATCTTTATTTAGTGGGGAGCATGAGAGAAAGGATACGGAGGTGATGGCCTAGTGGTATTATCATTGGATTATTAATCCAGAAACCAACATAATGTTCTGGGGACCTGGGCTTGAATCCTCCCATGCCAGATGGTGGAATGTGGATTAAAATCTGGAATTAAAAATCTACAGATGCGTACAAACCCATTTCGTGGAAAACCCATCTGGTTCACTAATGTACTTTAAGGAAGGAAACTGTCATTCTTACCTGGTCTGGCCACATGCAACTCCAGACCTGCAGCAATGTGGTTGACTCTTAACTGCCCTCTGGGCAATTAGGGATGGGCAATAAATGCTGGCCTTGCCAGCGACGCCTTCATCCCATGAATTAATTTTTAGAAATGTTCTTTAAGGAAAATATTGCGACTGAAATTAATTCTGGTTTGAACTTCTACTTTCTGGCTTAACCCTGGAGGCCTACCCTGGCTCTAATTGAGGGGCTGAATGGTCTTCTCCTGTTCTCATGTAATTATTGACTATGTCAATTGCAATGTGAATGAAATAATACTGAGGACAATTTGCCAGACTTTGTTGATGTAAATTTTGCAAAAGAAATCTTGTTGAACTACTATTTGGGTCATTAGGATGAGCACGTTGCCGTCAAATCCATTCCAAACCAGTTCTGAAGTTTACTTACAATGACAGTTTTTACACAGGTTGTCTGACAGCCGAGATACATTAACCTCTTCCCTAGCAGGTATCGCACAAAGATGCAGTTCTTCTTTTTTCCCACCTGCGTTAAGAAAGTAGCAGTTTTAGAATTGAAATGAAATAGAGTCATTCTCTGTGATTGCAAAATAGTTCAAGTGAATTTCCAACGCAAAATGTCAACACTCACCATAGGCCTGTATCCAGGAGGGCATTCAGGTTTATATTGACAATTTGTACACTTCCCCTTCAAAAAAAAAACAAATATTCCTCTTCATACAGCCGCTGTAAAGTAAAATTTTCCAAAATCTGCATGCCTTATCAAAAAAACCCAGAGGAAAATAATTGATAGGGGAGTTGGAGAGAAACAATTTTCTGTGTTGGGGAGGTGTGGTATTACCATGGTTGCCATGACTGGCATCAGATGGCATCTGCCACCTTGACCAGAATGCAGATCAGGGATGTTTGAGGTATATTTGCCGCCAGCAATCCTCCTTTGACTACACATTGTCTAGGGCCTCTTCTAATGTTCATTGTTGGGGGATACACCACTGTGAAGTCTTTACAGAGAAGACACTTCTTATTTAATAAGGTGGTTTATTGCATAATAGCAATAAGCACAACTACAAACTAGTCAGACCTAATTACTAGGCCTCTTGGCTGCTGCATATAATTGCTTTTTATTAATTCTGTCATGGGAGGATGTGGACATCACTGTAACATTTATTGCTGATTCTTTAATAACTTTGTATGCACAAATGTGAAATTTATGTACAATATTTGTTTACAAAACATTTTTCATTTGTTAACGGAATGCGACCATTGCTGGCTCAGGCAGCATGTATTGCCCATCCCTAGCTGCCCTTGAGAAGGTAGTAATGAGCTGCCTTCTTGAACCTCTGCAGTTCACATGGTGTAGGTAGAAACACAATGGCATTAGGGAAGTTTCAGGATTGGACCAAAATTTTGAATAGGTTGATGTTTGATGACTGGTGCAAACACTATGGGCCAAAGGGTCTTTTTCCATGCTATAAAAAATTTATGACACTAACATAACAGTAAAAATACTTTAGAGATTATAAGGCTGATGTAAGGTATAGAAATTATAATGTTCTTGGATCAAGATAGGAGTGTTCAGGCATTACCACGAGGCCATTTGAAAGTGATTAACTTGTAGCCTTAGTCATGTTAATAGGTCATATCTCTCTCATTTTACTATGTTTAAGATCTAACCTTGGTACTTTGAATATGTATTTGTCTTGCAGTTTATTTTGTAGCCTATATGTGCAAACTGTCATCAATGGGAAACATTCCTGCCTCTGAGTCAGATATTGTGGGCTCAAGACCCTGGACGATATAACAGAAGCACCAACAGCTTTAAACATTTACTCACTTACCTGTGTCACTGTCGTTTCATTAGTGTCACAGCGATTTTTTTGGATCTCCAGAACCTTTGTTAGTCCATGGATTACACCTTTGTCTGTTTCCACATCAGTGAAATTGACTAGTGCATCATTCACAGAAAGCTGCAATGGTAGACAATGTGTTATCACAGGGGAGATTGAGATGAGTTGCTCAAAAGCACGATGACAAGGTTTGGTGGAGTAAAGAAGGTGAAACTGTTTCTATGGTCAATGATTACAGGGCCCCAAGGGACGCATTCCACATTAAACAGAGAATGCAGCCATTTCCACAATACCTGAAGTTTCAAATAAGAATTAATTCTGACCAAATGAAAGGCTTCTAAAAACAAATGCATATGTTTTCAATCAACTCATTTGAAAGTGTTGTGACATCACCAAGGGCAGGTTGGTCTTGAACTCAGACCTTTTGGTCCAGAGATTCGAACATTACCACTATAAGTTTTGATAGACACCAATTCCAATGAAAGTTGGATTACCTACAAATAATTAAAATGCAGCATTTTAACTGAAACTTTGACTGCATTTAAACTCTGGGTGAGCTGCGATGTCCATCTCCTATCAATCAAAGTTTATTAGTTGCTAATGGATATTCCAGGGCACATAGTAGATGTCTCAGTAATTTAGCAGTTCTGATCTCTGAAATAAAGAGAGAATTACAACAGCAGAAAACAGACCGGCATTTAGTTAAGAGATAACAAGGTGTAGAGCTGGATGAACACAGCAGGCCAAGCAGCATCATAGGAGCA